TGACTGTGAGGCAATAATGGGTCGAATCAGATTTTTACACTTTGCTGTTGTAAAGTGGATGCTTCTTCCTTAGAGAATGTCTGCCTTTGTTGTTTTTCTTTTTAAGATTTTGTTTGTAATGCACACTGTGTGAAAATGTTGATCCCACTAATTGATGATGGCTTCGGGAGTCATTGGAGTTGAAAAAGATTTCCAAACAACTACTCCTTTCTATAGGAAAGCACCAAGAAGTTATTGGAAAAAGATGAAAATGCCTTGATGATTTGTTTAATAACTTTGTCTAATAAATACATCGGATATGTTTTTCTAAACACAAATTCCCTGGTTGTTGCATTTTTTGAACATCATTGTATTGATGAAATGTTAAGTTTTGTCATTATTACTCATTTATGCAACAAAAGATGAATGTCCCTGCACAACTTGACAGGTGTTTATACTGCGCCCCTGAAGACTCATGTAGGGCAATAATCAAAAGCTGCTTACAAATCCATTCCCACCGTTTACAAATCTATAAGCATGTTTTTATATACTTGGCAAAAGTCTGTACCCTCAGAATGCAAATCCATGGGCATGTAAACCATTGGAATGGATTTACAAACATTTAACTTTTTTCTTTCCTGAGCTTTAAGGAGCTCCGTATGTTTCCAGTCATTCCTAGTGGAGTAAATATCTGCTTCTAAAGTTTTACAGAATACAGGGGAATAACATGAGGTATCCAAAGCACCTTCCAACACTCCCGTTTTGAGCAAGAGTCTCCCTATCATGAACCCTTTACCTTGATGTACTCCCAATTTGTAATTTATCCCATTCACCCCCCCCCCATTTCAACTTTAAGAAGCTTTATTGGCATTAATTTTACAATAATAATGTTGTCAAAGCATCACATAAAAATAATAGTAATCAATGATGTTTCATCATTTCACCATGACAACAAATTAACAGAAATAAGAATATGTTATTCATTTTCTTACTTCTTACGTTTCTATGAAAGAAAATGTGAGTGTGTGGGTGTGTTTCGTAACTTTATTAGAATTATGTTATGAGTTGCTCGTCATGACGAAACATTCACTATTAAAGGCCTGACCTTGCATGACAATAATGAAATAAACTCAGTGCAGACTGACGATGACAACTACAAAAAGGAAGGACATTGTACAGTAACTGTTAACAATAAAACCCTAAAAGTGGACACTGGTGCTAAATGCAATGTTATTTCCCTTGACACATTCAGAGAGCAGAGGCACACTGAGAACCTGTACAAGCCACCTAAGCAAGTTAAACTTGTTGCATTTGGAGGAGCCATGATCAAACCGATTGGTTCAGTGACTTTATGCTGCAGGCTTAATGACCAACCATTTGACCTGCAATTCCAAGTTGTGACAGAGAATGTGCAATCCATTTTAGGCTTGAAGGACAGCCTAAGGATGAAACTGGTCCGCTTCAGCAAAGAAGTATTCCACTCAAACACTGTTCCAGACCAGACCCTGTCACAGAAAATATTCGAGGAATACACAGATCTGTTCAAAGATGAAGTTGGTCACCTACCCGTGACCTACTCAATGAAAATAAATCCAAGCATAACTCCAGTCGTCAACCCTCCACGTCGCATCCCTGTGGCAATGCAGAAAAAAGTGGAAATGGAGCTTCAGAGAATGCAAGCTCTGCGAGTGATTGAAGCCCACAGAATGGGTCCCTAACGGCAACATGGTTGCCACACATAGAAAAGAGACTGATGACGTTCGCATCTGCATAGATCCAAGAGACTTAAACAAGGCATTGATGCGCCCTCACCACCTCATGCGCACAGTAGAAGAGGTAGCGGCACAAATGTCAGGTCCACTGTCTTCTCTGTGCTTAATGCTAAAAGCTCCTTTTGGCAAATCAAACTGGATGATGCATCTCTCCGCACCACATTCACAACTCCTTTTGGCAGATTTAAGTTCCTGACAATACCTTTTGGCATTAACACTGCCTCTGAAGTCTTCCAAAGGTCCATGGAACAAATCTTTGCTGGATACCCATGTGCTATAATTGTCGACAACATCATTGTTGGTGGCAAAGGAGTTGAAGAGCATGACAAGAACCTGAAAAAAGTGTTGGATTGAGCATGACAGGTAAAGCTCAGACTCAACCCCAAAAAGTGCAAATTCAGACTCAAAGAGGTAGGCTATGTTGGACATGTATTCACAGCCAAGGGACTTAAAGCAGACCCAACAAAAATCACAGCGATCAAAGAGATGCCACCTCCAGAGGACAAGCCAGCCCTCCAACCCTTCCTGGGTATGATAAATTATCTAGGAAAATTCATCCCGAATCTAAGCGAGGTGACAGCACCGCTACGCCAGCTGCTGCACAAAGACGTAGTCTGGAGCTGGACACAACACCAACAAGATGCTTTTGATAAGCTCAAAACAAGTCTTACCAGTCCACCTGTGCTTCACTACTACGATGTACAAAAACCAGTAGCTCTGACCTGTGATGCATCCTAGTATGGTTTAGGTGCAGCCTGTCTCCAAGAAGTTGAACCTGTGGCATACGCATCACGCACACTGACCCAAACAGAGACAAGATATGCGCAGATAGAGAAGGAGTAACTAGCAGTGGTCTTTGCTTGCTATAAGTTTTATAAATACATTTATGGCAAACCGGTTGTGATTGAAACCGACCACCAGCCTCTGGTTACAATCCATAACGAGCCTTTTCACACAGTTCCAGCACGCTTACAGCGCATGATGCTAAGATTGCAGAAATTCAACTTGACTCTCACCTACAAAAAAGGGAAGCACCTCTATCTGGCTGATACCCTCTCTCGCGCACCAAGGCCTGGTGTCGACCCCCAGAAAGAGGAGCAGCATGAGTTCGAGGTGATGGCAGTTCAGCTCATATCTCCACAGCAGCTCGAGGAACTCTGTGAGCACACAACTGCAGACAGCACCCTACAGACTCTCAACCGTCTCATTCTAAACGGTTGGCCACAACGTGTATGCAACGTACCAACAGAGGTGAGACCATTTTTTTTTTTTTTGTGATGAGCTCACTGTTGAAAACAACGTAATTCTAAAAGGCAGCAGAGCAGTTATTCCAGCTTCCTTACGGTCTGAATATCTGAAAGTGCTACACAAAGGACACCCAGGTGTGGAATCCACAAAAAGAAGGGCAAGAGAAAGTGTATTCTGGCCCTCAGTAAATGATGACATCGAGATCACCATTCAGGCGTGCAGCATCTGCAACAGCATGAAACCCCACCAACAAAAATAACCACTGAAACTACAAGAAATCCCTGATCTACCTTGGTCTATTGTTGCCACAGACTTGTTTGAGTGGAACAACCATCATTATCTTGTACTTGTAGATTCATACTCAGGATGGTTTGAAATTGACCAGCTCAGCTGTTTAACATCCTCATGTGTTATCAACAAGCTAAAACGCCACTTCTCAGTACATACCACATACCACAGAGACTGAACTCAGACAATGGCACACAATACACGAGTCAAACCTTTCAAGACTTTGCCAGATCTTGGGGATTCAAACATCTGACAAGTAGTCCAGAATACCCGCAGTCCAATGGCCTCAGTGAAAGAGCTGTGAGGAGTGCGAAAAAACTGTTGGAGACAACAAAAAGAGATGGAACAGACTTTTATCTGAACATCAGAATATGCCCCGAGACAAGATCCTTGGTTCACCTGCACAGAGACTGTTGTCTAGACGGACTCGAACAACACTCCCCGTCTGTAAACAGCTGTTAAAACCAGCAGCAAAAGCAACAGCCAGCATTAAGGCCCAGCTCTCAAAGAAGCGCAAATCACAGAAACGCAGCTATGACAAGTCCAGCAAAGCCACTAGCTCCAATAACACCAAATCAAGTGGTAAGACTCCAAACACAAAAAGGACATGACAAAATCGGTGTTGTAACAAGAAAGTGTGATGAGCCACGCTCATACGTGGTAGAATCTGAAGGGAAAGAATACAGGCGCAACCGACGTCACATTCTGCCAGTGATGGAGCCACAACCTCCAAAAGTTGTCACACTGAGAGAGGAGCCGATTATGCCACATCACATATCGGAGCCAGAAATGGACAAAACACAAATAACTGAAAGGACCGAGGACAGCGAGCAAACACCAGCAAGACAATGCCGAAAAACAAACAAGTGCTGAAAAGACTCCCAAAGTGCCACAAAAGGGTTTAGAGGAACAGGGCAAAAGCTTAGTTCAGCCTACTACTTCTACGTATTGTACTAGGTCTGGTCGAGTTTCTAAGTCGAACACAAAGTACCTTCATTAGAAATGATAGAAAGCATATATGAACCTGGATATGTGAAAATGTTTTAAATATTTTGTTTATGCATTTATTGATTGAGCTGTATGTTTGTTGCAGTATGTCACAAAAATCCTTTAATTTTCAGTCACCCCAAACAGATATAACTTTAACCTTGTCCAAGTTGTTATTTCATGGCACAGTGTCATATGTTCAGAAACAGTTTGCAAAAACGCTTTGTTTACATTACTCATGGTTGATGACCAAAGCTAAAGAAGGGGGGATGTAGACAGTTGTACTGTTATACTGTTGTGCCCTTCGAGTGCATGTTGCCATACTCAGTGTAAATCTCGTGAGACTTGGTAAGAACAAACGGGACTTAGAATGTTATCGTTATGATGGCCTGAGTATGTTCGTCTGGGGACTCATTATGACTAAGTGGCAATAAAAGTACACTGTGGAGACACTAGTTGTAGGTGTATTGTTTTTTTTTGTTGTTTTTACCTCGTTTTTAATGGACTCTTGAGTCTGTCAAAAAAAAAAAGATAATGGAGATTAACAACATCCAGTGTCACCGTATCCAAAAACTCACCAAACCTACAGTTTATTATTTAACATTTACATACTTTCATATCCTAGTCCGGACCATGGTCCGGACGTAACGTGGTGGTTTCTGCTGCTTACAAGTCACGTGACACTGACGTCATGACCACTGTGTAACCTCATAGGTTTACGCAGCTGTCGCGTTGTTATCGTTGTGCTGCTCTCACTGAACTTCGAACATTTTTAAATGTGGAACTCCAGTGTACTTACTAAAAGAAAAACAAGGCCTCCACTGCATCTTACCGTAAGTGTTGACGGGATCAGAGAGGACTGTTCTAATTCAAGGTATGTAGATATTTGTATGCTGCAATGATAGTAACATTACCATACAAAGACAGTTACCAAATGTTACTGATGGAGCTGGTTGGCTGATACGGAACACAAGTTACACTTCTCCTTGCTGCTCGGAAGTCTAATTGTATCTCACTAGACCAAATTCAATTTACATGCAAAACAGTTTGTTTAACCATAATCTGAACTTCAAGTGGTTCATGCAACCAAATGTCTTAACAAATTGGACATAATCATTCTTTATGAAACTGTATCCTACTGACATCTGTGACATCCTATGCATAACTTGAGCGACTTTCTCCTGTTTACAGCTGGTGGTTGCAGTCTGGTAATGGGTTTCTGGCAGCCGCTCACCAACCTTAGAGATTATGTATCCCAGAATCCTCCTGTTGTGACATTTTTCCTGTGTCTTTTGACCCTGGCTGTCACGTTCGTCTGCCTCAGCTCTTACAGCTATAATCACAGTGTGCCTAACCCTGACACAACAAAGGTAAGGAGTCTATAATCCAATTAAATTTTTGAGAATGGAAGAAATGTCTCAGAGTTTGAAACAGATTTGATAAGCCGTTATGTCTATCTGGTAGTAATACAGATGAAAAAAAGGGGAGGCTTATGTCCTCGCTGATTTAGATTCTGGTGAATAATGTAAACGTGATGCTGTGTTGTGCAGGCTGTGTTGCAGGTTTTGCATCCTGAGGTAATACAATGTATGCTTCATTCTCCTCTTAGGACTGGAACCACCTGCTGTCCTCCTTATCTCAGTTTAAGCTCTGTGTGAATTCAAATGCAAGTTTACCTGAGCTTGTCTCACCCACAACCTCTCCTCTGAGTCTGAGAAAAAGAGACGTTTCAGTTCACCCCACAAACACTCCATCTGTCACCACTTTACATCTCAGGGTTCCTCTGGTTGTTACTCCAAACTCAAACAGTGACTCTCTAAAAAACATAGCTCTACACACTGCCTTGAACAGCAGTCAGCTTCATCTTGAAGGTTGGTATTACAGGTTTAGTTGTGAAATAAAGTGTGTATCACCATGAATTTTCACCAATTAGTGATTATTTTTCTCCTTAGGCAATGACAGTATTAATATGACTCTTGAGATTGTGTCTGGAAATGACACCTACACCTGCCTGACTATTAGTGCTCCAACTCATCTCCTGCCCATGAGCTTGTAAGTTCATACACACTCTAAAGTGTGTTTCCAAACCTCTTCATAATGAATCTCCAACATTTTTTTATATAAAAGGATTGTCTGTTAAATCATAAATGTGTTTGTATGAATATGAGAGGCCAGAACTCTGAACAAACTGGTTTCAATAATGACCAACCCCACTCACCCACTACACGCCCTGAAGGTGATCAAGAGCAGCACCTTCAGTCAGAGACTGATTGCACCAATGTGCAAGACTGAGAGACACAGAAAGTCTTGTATACCAGCTGCTGTAAGGTTTTATAATGCACAAAAATAACTTTTTATTTTTATTGTATTTTAACTTATTAAGTATGGAAGCTATCTTATGAAATGTGTGGTGTTATGTCTGTCTTGAAGCTGTTGTGGCACTGTAATTTCCTGTAAAGGATTATTAAAGGATCTATCTATCTATCTATCGATCTAATATATTTTATACTTTAATGTAGACTTCCATCAGAGTGCCCTGCATCTGAGAAAAACATTTCACCCATCCATGTGGAAGCAACAAAACAGCTTGACACAGTTTCACAAACCTGCTACAGTCTACGCTCCGAGAATGACCCTTCACTCATAGTCATGTTAACACCGGTACAGTGTAACACATGACAAACACAACTTGCACAAATATAGCAATATTAAATTGAAATACCCTCCTGTCATAACGTCAGTCATTCCCTGCTTTTATTTTTAAGGAGGAGCGGAGTGTGGCAGCGCGACATCTGTTGGAAGTCAGCGTGTGTCTGCTCGGAGTGTGTGGGATTCTCTGTTTAGCTGCTTGTATGACACATTCACTTGTACGCCGCCACTATTGGAATGGACTGGATCTTCAAAATGTAAGAAACACTTTCTCATACAGTATCTGGTTCTGACACTACCAGTACTTTTCTGTTTATAGTAATGTGTAATAGAAAACTTCTGGATTATACAGGCAAAATCATACAAAACATCATGACTAAAATCTATTGTAAGAAATATTTGAGAATCATGAATACTTTATTAATCCTGAACTTTGAAGTAGAATATATGAACTATATTACATGTGCTTATGTGGTCTCGGTAGTACTTTTGTTTACTTTCCTTTTTGCCCAAAATCTAGGTATCAAGTATTCTTAGTAAGCTAAGAGTTTTGTTTTGACCTAACCTTAATGTTTAACTGTATTTGCAGGAGCTCTTGATTGACAGCTGAATGTTCTCCATCCTGAAGAAATTGAATTGTTGTTGAGTTGTTGAATGAAAGAGAGTATTGTGAAATGCCAGGTTTAGAGGGGCACTGGATAACATTTTCTGAAGGGGCTTCTCCAAAGCCGGAGAAAGAAACCCTGGTGATGCCATCAGAGTTATTCCAACGGTGGTTTGGAGAATTCATATTATGTAGCCATTTTAAAAGCCTGGCTTATTCAGGGAACTCAGAAAGGGTATATTTCAATACATGCAGCATCAGTTTGGCCATTTAAATGCATATTTAACAGTGTTTTAAAGTGCAGAGCTCAATCAGTACGGCATCCTTGCTGTAAGAAACTCAAATATACAGCATGAAGTCAAAAAACGTCAACAAAGGAGGAATAAATTATGTAATGGACCATAGTGGAATGGGAACAATCCGTCAAGTGTATATTGTCCACACTGTTGACTGTTCATTGATCACTGTCCAATCTGCAGTCAAGGATTTTTTGCATTCCATTGAACTGATTTGTCTTTTTCAGTTCACAAATTTCCTAGAATTACTTTCAACCTGCATTCAGGTGAGAATTATCTTCCTGTCGAAGGAAACATTTGAAATACTTTGAAGTTATACACTGTATTCCTACCAGAACATGACAATGTTTTTTAATGGAACCCAGGACCAGCAATAGCTCAAATTGATGAACTGACTTTTTGGTTTCATGCTTTTTCCTTAAGATTTTATTTTGGTAGGGAAATATTTTCTTCTTGCCTATTTGAAAAGTATTGGTATCAGTTCCAAGCACAGTATTTAAATAAACTTCCACAGACTTGGAAAATGTTTAATTCTCTGATATTTTATTCCATGGATGATAATGATAATAATTGTTGTCTATATTATGTTGTGTAAAACGTATTAAAAAAAAACAAGAATTTCAATGTTGCCATCAGTAAAATGTATGGATATGAGATCTATGGCACTAAAAGAGATATATAGTTAACATGGTTGTATTATCAAAGTTCAACATTACACAATAAAAACATTTTCTGCTGTAAATCATGTTTTATTCCCTGTCATTTCACCCCACTGAACAGTTGAACGGTATCTTCTGGTTAGTTCATGAACGGTCTTCATATTTATCAAGATGTAATGAAAAAGTGAGGGAGGCTACACAGGAAGTGAAGCTGTATCGACTTGAAAGACAGGCACACAAAATGTGTTTGAAACTCCAAATGAAGACTTTTTTTTCTTTAATCTTGTGGCGTGTATTACGGTTTCAGACGCAAAATGTAGATTAGTTCTTCTAATGTTTCCCTGAAGTTATATCAATAATCACTGATCATGCTTATTTCCCCTGTCTGGTGCCACCACTCTGCTAATGCACCGGTATGTTCCCTTAACTACGTAGCGAGATTTCTAAGCCAATCGTCGTTACGAATGTTTACTTGGTGCTCTCCTATTGGCTGCTTACAGCAAAATAGAGGCGGGACTTCTAGAATCCAGTGGATACCTTTGGTGGAAGCACAAGTAACCATAGTCGAAGTGGTTGGAGTCTCCGCGGCCTGTTGGGTTGTTTAATGTAAAAGAAAAGGAAACGTAGCGTTAGAAAGTATTTGTTACTCCTCGGAAGGATTATTACACTACCCGGAAGCCACGTCAAAGCCGCCGTCATATGAAACAGTCTGCTAGTCGGTGATAATTTTATGGCTAACGTCAGCTACATGTTTAGACAGCGTGAAGCTAGCTAGCTAGCGTTACATCACAATCAATGTAGAAAACGCTAACGCCCGCTAGCTACCTGTGTTAGCCTGACAATGTAATGTTAAAAACTGTTTAAAAAAGTAATTTCATGTCCACTGAAGTGTTAGTATCATATACTCCTTGCTGAACGTGATTCGGCGTAAGTTTACATTAACCTAGCTAGTCCATACACTGGCAGCAGCATGATTACATACATGTTAAATGTATTTAACGAAGAGCTGGATTTAAAACGCACTTTGATCTTAATTATAATGTTGTGTTGTCCTGGACTGACCTCCCACGTGGTGCCCTTCATGACTTTTAGTGAGGAGTGGGTGTTAACCTTTTTGACTTGATGTTAAGCTCCCACATCAGTTCATGTCAAATCATCACAGTGATGTTACTGACTGGAGAAAGCCCTGTGCAGGTATGCATGCAACACCTGTAATAGTTTCTTCTTTTAGGATGGACGGTCTGGTCTGAAGCTCGGTTGGACAGAAGAAGGCAACAATAAGTAAACAAACAAAGTGAATGACCATGGCCTATTCTAACTACAGCAGCCTGAGCAGGGCTCAGCTTACCTTTGAGTACCTGCACACAAACTCGTAAGTACTTGATTATCACCCGGTTAATATACATTATTATGATCAATATTGGAAATGCCAATAGACTCAGATGCATTCAACTTAACATTTAAATGTTAATACTCTTGTGACCTGATAAGAAGTTTACATCAGATCAATGCCCAAACATTGCTTTGTTAAATGTACACCCAATTTTATTTCACTATCTTGTCAGTTTTTGTCTTTAATTATATGTTATTTTTTTAATTCTGCATGGATCATCTAAAGTTATGATATGGCTTACTTGTGATGTACATTGAATATTAAGATACAAGTCTGGGAACTTGTATGATGAGCCCTCCTCAGTCCTAATTTGTGACCCCTACTTGGTTAGCATCTTCAGCATTGTAACATTCAAAGCTCAAGTGAACTTATCTCCAGTTCCAGTTTAAGAGAGGGTGGAGTAACTTGATCATATTCAAGTAAATTATGAATTCACTCTTAATAATTTGAAGTACAGAGTCCAATTAAAATGTGCAAAGTAGATGTAACCAACTAGGAACACAGTTATGCAATAAATCTACCTGTAATACAATCCTCTGTAATCGATATATGCAATTAATACATAATTGTGATTAATTAATTTCAAAGCATGTAATTAATAAGAATAATTTTGATCGATTAACAACACTAGAAGTAAAGTAAAATAAGAAAAAGAATCGAAACGGATGGTAGGATAGTCTATGAGAGAATATGAGAATCAGGGGTTCATAATGAATCATTAAACATATTAAGAACCTCTTCTCCACTGATATTAAAATAATATTTTAAAAGACTTCAGGAAATTCAGCGTGTTGTTTTTAAAACATATTTGTACCTGTAAACACAAGATGCATTCATTTTTAATAATTGATTATATTAAATTAATTAAATGCATGGTCTGTTTTCAGGACAACCCATGAGTTCTTATTTGGAGCCTTGGCAGAACTGGTTGACAATTCAAGGTATCCTTAACAAGAGCTTCTAACTGTTATCAAGCATTGCAGCATGGCAAACTTACATTGGCCTGGCTATCACGTTGATTGAAGCAAAAACTCTCAAAGTTGATTTCTTTCTATTCCTAGGGATGCCAATGCCACACGAATAGACATCTACACAGGTAAACTCCAGGATAACTCCTTCAATGATGCATACATGTTTATTCAAGCTCTTAACATGACTCTTTCACCTTCCTGCTGTGCTGACAGAAAAAAGACCAGAGCTGCGGGGCGGCTACTTGCTCTGTTTTCTGGATGATGGGATTGGAATGGACCCCAGTAAGTGCTACTTGAGTAACTGAGTAATTGCTTAAGCTGTCCTTTTTCATGAGTATCCATTGTGAGGTTTCAGTGTATTTTGTGTTTTAAGCTTGATACTAAATGCCTTTCTTTTATTAGATGAGGCAACACAAGTTATTCAGTTTGGAAAGTCAAGCAAACGGTCCCCTGAGTCCACTCAGATTGGCCAGTATGGAAACGGATTGAAATCGTAAGACCAATATCTGAACTTCTATGATTTTGGTGCTATGCATGAGGTGCACTAGTGTTTAAATTCCCATATCATTCTTTTTAACAGTGGCTCTATGCGTATTGGCAAAGACTTCATCTTGTTCACAAAAAAGGGCGACACGCTGACATGCCTTTTCCTGTCAAGGACTTTCCATGAAGAGGAAGGACTAGATGAGGTCAGAATCCAATTAAGAGGGATTGTTACAAGGAACTTAAGTACTCATGGTATCTAGGTTTTTTTAAACAAATAATCTCAAGTCAATTAAAAATAATATGTATTTGTAAAACTTTTGGAGGTGGACAAAAATATCATCAGGCTTTATGTGTGATCACATTTTTTTTTGGAAATATTTATTCATGCATTGCCACACAACCTACATCTTATTATTTGATGTTCATGCATTTTCTTTGCCAATCAGCCAAGAAGGAGTTCTGATGCTACATTGATTTTAAATGCAGAAACTCGGTCTGTTTGAATGTACATAATGCCATTGGTTAAATTATGCTGGTCTTAGCTAAGGCTTTTTATCAAAATTGAGCACCTTGACCACGGGACAAAGTTTAGCCTTTTCTTGTTTAGGAGGGGCTTTCCTCTAGAATATAATTGTTTAAATTCAGGCTTTTCAACATCCCTTAACTTTCTTACTAAAAGACTTTGAACGTCTCTCTTCAGGTGATAGTGCCTCTCCCTTCATGGGATCTGAAGACCAAAGAGCCTCTAACTTCTGACCCAGAGAAGTACGCCATAGAGACAGAACTGATCTTCAAATACTCCCCTTTTAAAAATGAACAGCAGCTGATGGAGCAGTTCAACAAAATAGAAAGTAGCAGTGGTACGTATATAATGATATGTTTCCCATTGATTAGACAAGTTCTTTCTACTTGAAGCTTCTGAGTAACTTATTAGTGATAACATTAATGGCTTTAAATCTAGTGTTGGGCTATGACATGAATCGTATTGATTATGATGCTTTTCTGTTTTATTTGTTGAAAGGTACCCTTGTGATCATCTATAACTTGAAGCTGATGGACAACAGAGAGCCAGAGCTGGATGTAGAGACGGATCACCAGGACATACTGATGGCTGGGATACTAGTTGAAGGAGTGTGAGTATCTCATTAAAGCATTTAACCAACAAATCGTAAAGCTCTATATTTTTACAATGAATTTTATTTAATGTTGCTAAAACTAATCAAGATAGTGTTAATGTTGATATCCATGCCGTGTTCTTTCTCACAGGAAGCCAGAGAAGAGGTCATTCAGGGCATACGCTGCTGTGTTGTACATCGACCCACGCATGAGGATTTTCATCCAGGGGCATAAAGTCAGGACCAAGAGATTGTCATGCTGTTTGTATAAACCAAGGTAATATGATGGCACATGTTTGATGTTAGTTCATATTGGATTCCAGTAACAATACTTTCATGAGCATTCTTGTTTTGTTCGAAGGGTTTATAAATACTCATCGACTCGTTTCAAAACTCGAGCTGAGCAAGAAGTGAAGAAAGCCGATCACCTTTCTAAGATTGGTGAGAGAACTATAAAATGAGTGTTAATTTGATTTCATGCTGTCGCAACCAACATGTCACTCTCATCCGTCAACAATGTTATGTTTTATTTCAGCGGAGGACAAAGCCAGAGAGGCAGAGAGTAAACGTGTATCTTTGGAGGCCAGATTGGGAGAAGACCTGTCAAAAGATTCACGGGTAAGCTAAAGAGGATGTTTTGCTTAATTTGTCAAATTCAAACTTAATGTAACTGTGCTCAATTGTTAAACTGGTATCTCATCTAAGCTTTTTTAACATTTCACCTGATGTCTTCTTATGCTCTCTATTTCTCAAGGCAATCCTGAGAAAGGTTCAAGACGCCGCCATGATGCTGCGGCGGGATGCCGACATGAAGAAAATGATTCTCGAAGCCAAACAGAGGTATGATAAAGAAAACATGAAACCTTAATTGTCAAACTTACAACAGCGAAATAAAGACAGAGGTTGTTATTTTTAATCTTGACATTTTAACTGGCTTAGAAAATGAAAGTGTACTTCTTACACTACTTTGTTTAGCTGCTCTTTTTTTAAGGAGAACACTTGCAAATTTCACTCAACACAACGGTCTAAATCTCTTTGTTCATCGCTGGGCTTTGTCCAATCAGTCAGTTTCCAACATGTTGTTGTTTCTCAGAGCACTGAAGGAGCCAAAAGAACTGAATTTTATATTTGGAGTGAACATAGAACAGAGGGAGCTGGATGGGATGTTTGTGTACAACTGCTCTCGTCTCATCAAGATGTACGAGAAGACAGGCCCACAGCTGGAGGGAGGCATGTGAGTAACACGACCTCTGAGAATGAAAAGTTTAGTTTATTTTCATTGCAGTAATGTGAAGTAAATCATCAATATGCTTTGTTTGTTTTAGGGCCTGTGGAGGCGTGGTTGGAGTAGTTGATGTCCCATATTTAGTTTTAGAGCCGACTCACAACAAACAGGACTTTGCTGATGCAAAGGAGTATCGACATCTACTGAAATCCATGGGGGAACATTTAGCTCAGTACTGGAAGGACACTAACATTGGTGAGTTTCCTTTGAAGTCTGTATTTCTGTTTTATCTCTTTGAGTTTCTGAACTAGGAAAAAATGTAGTTGAATGGAACTTATGACTGTAGAAACAAAACTCAAACCCTCCACAAAAATTGGAAAGTAAACAAAGTGTTTCATCCTTTTGATTGGACTGTCATGCTCATATCACAGTGAGACACAGTTTCTTGTGTGTGTACCCCACTTTTATTCAATGAAGCATTAACCTTTAACTCTACATATCTGATTTTGTCAAACAAGGTTATGTAAATCTTCTCTCAATGAGAGGAGTTGTTTAATGGCCTTTTTTTAAACATGCATAATCATTCCACTCCCAATCGTTCTCTGGTGCCCACTCTTGTACATATGCACAAAGGAACAAGTAGGAAAGTTACAGAAATTTGGCATTAGAAACATTTACCTGCATCATTTTTATTTCATGATAATAAATAACTTGTTACATTTTAAAAGACTCACTGTCTGTGTGTCGTATACAGCTCAAAAAGGAATAGTGAAGTTCTGGGATGAGTTTGGATACCTGTCTGCCAGCTGGTCTGCACCTCCATCATCAGAATCTAGATACAAGAGACGTCGAGCCATGGAGATACCACTTACTATTCAGTGTGGTACGTTGCAGATTCATACTCAAACACACATTCACACAGATGTTGTTTCACAGTAAACTAACCACTGACTCTGAATGTGCTTTTCATTTTACAGACAAATGTTTGAAGTGGAGAACGCTTCCTTTCCAGATGGATGCTGTGGACAAACGCTACCCAGACAGTTGGGTGTGTCTCATGAACCCAGACAGCAACCAGGACAGGTGAACAGGATAATCTTTTCTTTGTAGGATATGTGTTTTCATTTGTATCTTGCACCATTTTGTTTTATTATGTATGCAACATTCATGCCAATTTAATAACTGTGTCACTAAAACACTGTTTTGAAAACGGTGGAGTGCTTCTTCATGTTGTTGTATTTATTTTTTATGTTTGCAGGTGTGACGCTCCTGAGCAGAAACAGAATTTGCCGTGTGGTGTTCTGAAGAAAGACAAGCAAACAGCCGAAGACAAACGTAAAGAGCTGGCAGAGAGAATCAAACAGCAGCAGGAAAAACTTCAAGCATTGCAGGTACGTCTCTCTCTCTCACACACTCTCTCTCTATCTCTTTCTCCCCTTGTTCTGTCGTTCTCTGTCCAGTGGGTTCTGTGACAATCAGGACATCATAGAGTGTGTTTTAATTTTTCAGAAAACCAGCACTATCAAATCTGCGGCAGATGTAAAGAAGCTACCACTTGAGGTCAGCATGAAACCAACAGAGAGCACCTCTCAGGTACTAGATTTCATGTAGTCTTCTAATTCTGGGTCACTTTTTTTAAATAATAAAATGAAGTTGAATCTTGTCTTGTTTTCCAATCATTATCTCACTTTGATGTTTGTGTTTTTTTTCTTCTTCTTTTTTCACATTCTATGATTTCAGGCAACTAGGTCTTCTGAAAGGTCCACCACACGTCCTCGCTCCCCACCACTCCCAGCTCACCTCAAAACTGCCCAGAGTACCCCTCCATCTCGTGCATCTTCTCAGCGCTCCACCCGAACACCCGCAACTCCACCTCAGCCTCGATCGCGAGCTGCAGCAAAGCCCCCTCCACCTGCATCAAGGCCTGCACCCAAAGCTTCTGCCAAAACACCCACACCCAGCCGCAGCTCACGGGTAGGTTACTAGATTTTGAAAGATTTCCACCAGAACCAAACAGTACCAATAGAAAGCTCTCTTGAACATACTGATCAGTATACTGAGTATACAGTATACTGATCAGTATGTTCAAGTTTTTCCTAGAAACAATTTATTAATAATATATATCTCCTTATTTAGACACCCACCAAATCCCCATCAGCCAAACCTGCAGCTGCTGGACAACGCAAAAGAATCGTAGAGGATGACAGCGAAGAGGAGGAGGAGGAGGAGGAGGAGGAAGAAGAGGAGAAGGAGGACGATGACAGTGAGGAGGAAAGTGAAGAGGAACAACCACAGACAAAGAAATCCAAGCTGGCCGCTGCGGTTTCGAACCGTGGGAAAGTGGTCGAGAAATCAACACCTCCTAAACGTGGCAAGCTGGACGAGGTAAACAGAACCTGATGCACTAGTTAGAGAAGACTTTTCTTTGGATCAGATCATTATAAAGACATTATAAATCAGAATTTATTTTTATAAAACTTAAAATATATAAATATTTAAAAACATAGACATGTAGAGAATATAATGGCAGTGTTATCAAAGCTCCAAACAGCTCTAAAATGTTTGAATTAATCCTTGAAATCAGCCTTTTTGAGTTAGTCAGGGTGTGTGGTTCATTGTGCAGCATGCCTTCAGGACTGTGCTGTGATGGTGTAGCTGCTGTTTGTTTCTGCTGCTTGTTGCCTCTCTGTCTCTAATACCACGTGCCTCTCGCAAGAGGCCTCCATACACCAGTTACAGCTTGTACAGAATGCTATCCAGATGCAAAAAAAGGGAACATATCAAACCTATACTAGCATCCCTGCACTGAACTCCCATTCATCACAAAATCCCACACAGAATGTTTTTGTTTGTGTTCAAAGCCATCCATGGCCTCGCTCCTAGCTTTATTGAAAAACTTGTCTCCATATAGTATAGCCAGCGCCTCAGATCCTCTGATCAGGAGCTATTAACCATCCCACATACTGTACACAGCGAAAATATTCAGAGATGAGGCCCATCCTTAGACTCTGGAACAGCCTCCTGTTACACATTAAAACAGCAGAATATTTTGAAATCTTTTTTTTTTTTAAAACCTCAAAATTAATTGTTATTCCGTTGCCTTCACCTGCAGCTGATACTTTACTTTCTTTACATTATACCTTGTTTAAAAGGAGCCTTCATTCATTTGTGTGTGTGTGTGTAAGTATGGTTGATCACACTGTGCGTCTCCATTTCATGTGTCGTGACAATCTTGAATTGCCCTAAATGTGTTCTTGGGTTCTTTTGTAAAGTTTGGTACAAACCCTGTTTGTTTTAATGAAAAGAGATGACTGATCACTGAGAGAGTCATTTAAAGACCTCTACACATTTTCCATGATGTCTTACAAACTTAAGCTAATCAGGGAAAACAGTAAAAATATGACCCGTTCTTAATTACATTAACATAAACAACATTAACTACAGGGCAAAGCTGAAAGGCAACTTTTGTTCTAAGCATGTGTAGACAGGCTGTAATAACCTGAAAAAAAGGACATACAGGCATGCAAGGATGAGTAAGTAGGTTTCTGAACCTTAAATCAGAGCCCTTCTGCTGTTGACATTGCAGGTTAACAAACGCTCACAACCTGAGAAGACACAGCAGAAGCCGACAACACCATCTACTGGCCTTAAATCTGTTTCCGTGCAGCCGCATGTTGCTAAAGCAAAGGTAGCTTTACCCAGTCACCCTGCCTAATACCTTCATAAAAAGCTGAATCTGCTCACAGCTTCTAACAGTCATGAAACTTTAACTTTCAGAAGATCATGGTGAACTGTCAGATTATCGTTCTCTTGTCTAACAATCGTCTCTTGAATCAGAGTTATCATTCTCTCGCCACTTTCTATCAAGCATGCCTTTCTCTCTTAATGCCTGAGGTCACTGGAATTTTCACTTCTTTTATTAATGACATACAAATAATTTCTTTCACTTCCTTCAGGTAGAAAATGTTTTTCTGACTGGAAAGATAGTGATAGTTGTTGTTTTTTTAAGGCCCCTGAGAAGTCACCACAGCAGGAACCAGAGAATGACCCTAAAAATGCTCAGAGAGGTGAGAAAGACTGCACTACCCTAAAATGTATCGACATGTAGCAGAAAAGAAGGCTCTAAAAAACATCTATATCTACCGATCTATATTTTTCTTGCAGATAAGGGTCTGCTCGTTGAAGTACGTGTCAATAAGGAGTGGTACACAGGCAAAGTCATCGCTGTGGAGGCAAATAAACAAAGCGTACGCTGGAAGGTGAAATTTGACTATGTACCTCGAACCACCCCTAAAGACCGATGGTAAGATGATTTGTCTGTGTCGCTGCCCGTATGGCTCATTCTGTTTACCTACTTCATGACAAAAAGCCTGTTCTTTTAATAACCTTTATGTGTGGGTCTGTGAAGGGTGTTTAAGGGCAGCGATGATGTCCGGTTGATGCGGCCGCCATCTCCCATCTCTCAGACACCAGACACCCAACAGGAGACAGAGAAGGGACCAGCACCCATGGAGCCAGACACTACCCAACCAGGAACCAGCCGGGAAGTGACCGACAGTCTAGTCAACATGTTGAGGTGAGCTGATTTTCATAAACAGCCATGATTATTATCTTTCACTCAAGTGTTGTAGTTTTGTGGTGTGTTCACTGTCCTGTTTGTTTGCAGGACAATGCTACGCTACTTCTTCCCTCCTGCTTTTCGGATTCCAAAGGACGATGTTAACAGCATGTCAGCTGAGGAGTTGGTGGCCTTTCCTTTGGTGAGATAGATACAATATACGTGTTTATAGAAAGTAAAGGTTTTTTTATTTAAAAAGAGCATGCAGAGGGAAATGTATTGTGCCAGAAAAAGTACACGTAAAAAATACTGGGAGAAAAGACAGATGGCCACGCCCCATTAGGTCACGCCCCCGTATGAAAGCTATAGTCCTCAAAGCGGCTAAGTCTGTTCGAGTCTGGCCTGTGGCTTCTTTCCCGCATGCCTTTCTCCATCATCTCTCCCCAGTTTCCTACTTTATCTACTGTCCTATCCAAATAAAGGTATAAAAGGTCCAAAAATACAATGTTAATGGTTTTACTCACTGTGTTATGAGTCCAGAGTATTGACTGCTGCTGTATTCTCTTGTTCTCTCCCCCCCCCCCATTTTAGAAAGAGTATTTCCAGCAGTATGAGTCAGGTCTCCAGTCTTTGTGTAACTCGTACCAGAGCAGGGCTGATGCCAGGGCCAAAGCTGTGGAGGAGAAGAGTAACAGCGCTGAGGTCAAACTGAAGGAGGCAGACGAGAAACTACAGAAGCTACGAACAAACATCGTTGCACTTCTGCAAAAAGTACAAGAGGTAAGATTAACGAATGTACCTGTTGAACCAGAAACCGATTATCTACAGTGTGACATTATGACCTGTCTATCAAATTGAAACTTTGTTCTCTGAGTAAGTAAAACCTTAAACTTTTTTCTTTTTTCTTTTAGGACATTGACATAAACACAGATGACGAGCTTGATGCATATATTGAGGACCTCCTGACAAAAGGTGATTAAAGATGAAAAAACTCAGAGAAGAGGACCTGCAAATAAACAGACCGGCAGTTTTCAATACAGCAGATACTTTCTGACGGCTCCCCAAAGACTGGTGCTTATGTGCAGTTGGCTGTGAATATTTGGGGCTATTTTCCTTGTTAATCCCTCCATTTCTTAAATCTGATTGTCTGTTTGATCTTTTATGTTTTCAATTGTTTGCTCCTGTTCCTTCAGTTTTATGCATTGTTGGGGTAACATTGTGGTTTTCTCTTTAGTCCTTTTTATATAGCTGCTTATATATGTAAGTCTATGTTAAATCCATCCTTTCCTGGATGATCTTTGGAATAGTTTGTGTAGGTTTAATACAATTTATGCTCCCTTTATAAAGTCAACTAATGCTGTTTAACGGCAGACTACATTTGTTCTTCTTTTGGTTGATCGTCAGATGAAAATCAGACACAAATTGACTCAAGACTTGGGCTTGACTGGTTGATGTCCTGCGCTCCACACTGTACTTCAGCATTACAATTTATTTTTCTACACTAAAACACATCAGTGTTGGTCATTACCATAACCAGGTTAATGTTTTACGGTTGGGTGATTTGCCACACCCACAAACAAGATTTTCTTACTGGGTTTTATCAGTATGAGTATTCCCCTGTACCACTTCCCAATTTAAACTATGACTGTTCTGTGTTTACTTTTGGAAGAGAAAATAATCTCATTTAAATGCAGAAGTTGTGTTCATTATTATTCAGTGCCTGTGTCCCTTTTGAACAGATTTTTAACATGTCATGGAAAATGTTTTATTAAACAGTGCATGCTTTAGTCTTTACGTTCTGATCGGAAAAAAATTATTCTGTATTTTTGACAAATCTTTACCATAAACAATAAAGCAGGTTCAGTAACAACTTATGATAGATGTATATCTGTTATTGTTATACACCTACGTATCCAAAATTATACTTAACAGTATTTAAGTTTAAGTTCAAAAAGTAACAATTAAGTCAAAAATTTAAGTCAAAAATGGTAAATAACCTTTTTTGATGTATTTTGTTATGTTTCCTGAACCACATATTGTCCAATCTTCCAGATGTACATGTAAGGTCGTTTTACAAACAAACAAATTCAATTCAACTCAATTGTATCCGAGAAATAAAGCTGAAATCTCAAAAAGAGATATCGCAAAATCTTTGAGAAGTCAATCAAAGCTGATAGAGTACCAATTAATTTGTTACACAGAACGTGTTTGCCGAATAAAAGCGAAAGGATCCTTTAACCTAAATCCGGGACTTTTATTTTGAAGGCCAGAGTTCACACGAGTGACGTACTGAATGTAAACAATCCGGAGTTAACGACAGGTAAGACCCTCTTACTTCTATGAAGCTTATACGACTTACATGCAGAGGATTCAATATTATCAAAGCAGTTATCTATATGAACTGGTTTAAAGTCAAAGCAATAATAATGAAGGATATCTTTGTAAAGGTTAGCTCTGTAGTGGTTGTTGTTGCAGAGCTGTGGTCTTCATTTTGCAAAGTGAGCAATAAAGTAAATAAACAGCTGGATCGACAAGGACCAGGCTAACAATTAGGCTGGTATCTTGTTGTCCATATGAACCATTATTATATAATGCCATGAAATGACTATATTGGAGCAGGTTGCTTATCATATCTGCATAAATATAGCAACGGAATGAAATAAACTTTGACCCACTTAGTAATGCTAACAGCTAGCTTTACTGATTCACTTACAGATTAGTTTTGCCAAGAACAGTGAAATGATCCCTAATTAACAAGAAATAATATAACAGGTAGATATGAATTAATCTTAATAAAGGAATGAGGACTTCTTAGCTGGTTATGGTACAGCACAGTGTATTCAGGTCGTGTCTGTTAGAGCTATATACAACATGCAGAAATGATATTGACAGTGACAGATAATGAATAAATGCACATCACTAAAATAGACCAAAAAGCATAAAAAATGTTCATTGTAATGTTGAAGCAAGTAGGTGTTTTTTGGGGGGTTATTGAAACTATTGTTATTGATTAAATGTTCATCACAGTGATTATGACTTGATGACTTGATGGCTTGTGGGAATAAAGAATATTATTTATTGCATCCTACATCACTTGTTAATCGTGCATATGATTGGAAAGCTTAATTTTTAGCACCGAGTTTTCTTTCTCTCTTCAGGCTGCAGGTCTTGAGCCATGTCGGTGTGCTCAGCTCTACTGAATCGCCATTTAGTTGGAGGCTGCTGCAGGGCTTGGTGGGGTGTTCCTCGACCTCTGGTCCACATCAGATCAGCCAGTGTAGCCGAGCCAGGGACACAAAGATCTGATGAAGAATCACTTTGGGAGGCAGGAGGCTACCTGCCGTTCTCTGGAGCCAAGATCGGCTCTTTCTTTCAGGAGCAGCCTGTGTTGAAGAACCCATTTCTAGAGGATGCCTTACTCAGAGGATACCTGAGGAGACACCTACCAGAGGAGGTGAGGAGATGGTACAACTTTGTCTACAGCGACAGTTATTATATAGAGAGACATGATCCAAAGTTGTTCCACATTTGGATCCTCTTTAATGTCTGAAAAATCAGTCACAACCTTCTTTTTTTTTTTTTAAGATATAAAGCCGGGGATGACATTAATGCATGATGTATGATGAGTTGTATATTACAATATTCTATTGCAGTCATTTTATATTGATGAGCTTTAGAAAGTACTGCATTTGTTTTGGAAGGTGATAAAGTTTGAGGACAATAACAATGAGAAATACATCGAAGTGATTCACTTAAGAAAGACACAAAAATAAGTATGAAAACATTTCTACATACTAAGAAGTAATAATGTAATAAACATAGCCTCAATGGCTTGTTGGAAGTCTTTTTTGATATAACAATATATATAATATATAATATAATATATAAGACAATTAATGTGCATAAATATCAAATAAGTTTTGAAACGTGTCCACTTATAGTACATTTACAAACGGCAAAAAAGGTCAGTAAAATAATTGTATTGTGTTTTATCACAAAGCGGAAGTTTTGAACTGAAGCCTGTTATTGCTCACTAGTGTGACTAAACTATTGATATCAGCTAGGTGTGGTAGTGCTTCTGCTTCTGTCATGAAGAGCTGCTATCAGCTTAATAAGCAACTAGACTGTTTGCCGAGTTTGCAGCTTTATGAAGTTTTGATTCTCTTTATGAACAGATTAAAGAAAACTCAAAAGCTTCATCCTCTCATCTCAGATTCTTCTCATAGCTTTTCAGCCACCGCATCAAGTCCTGCATTTTCCAAATAATCGCATGCAAAAAAAGACAGTTTTGTTCTGAGGTCCGTCTGACTTTCTTTTTATCAAAAAAAAAAAAAAAGACTTCTGTATGTGAGAACTTCACCACCAGATGGCCAGGATATATCTTTTGAGTTCAATGAGCTGAGGTGTTTTTCAAGTGTGTGTTCTTGTTCACAGGCAGTGTCCTCAGACTTGTGTGCATTTGGAGAACGTGTAGCAAATGAGGTAGACGGGTGGGGCCGTGAGTGTGAGGTTACTCCTCCTCGTTTGGTGCACTTTGACCCCTGGGGTCGCAGAGTGGACCACATTGTGACCTCCCAGGCCTGGAAACGCATGAAAGACCTGTCGGCAGAGGAAGGACTTGTTGCCATCGGTTATGAGAGGTCGTACAGGGAATGGAGGTTTGGAGACTGTTGTACTTCCTTCTTTTAGTTGAGCTATGATTGGCATATTTTATATCAATAATGTTATTTTTCAACCAGTCTCTAATGATAAGAGTTGTTAAATTAGCATATCAGTGAGTGGAATTTGGTTTGTGTTTGTTCTAGTCGTGTGTTCCAAATGAGCAAGTTATACATCTTCTCCCCCTCCTCTGGTCTCTACACCTGTCCTCTGGCCATGACTGATGGAGCTGCTAAAGTCATCCAGGTGTGTCACACAAAAACAGTCATCTGACTTACGTTATATAATGTAGTTCTCACCCCATCAAACGCATAAGCTTGAAATCACGTTAGTTTAATAGTAGCTGTGATTACATGCTCAACCACACTATTGTTGCCTTTCTGTGGTAACCTTCATTTCTTCAAAGTAGTATAAAAACAAGTGTATAAGTTATGTTGATGTGCATGATGTTCAAATATTTTAACAGGCTGAAAGGGACAGAAACTTTGAAGCTTTATCCAGAACAAAATCTAAAATTAGACTGCAGCTGAATAGATGAGTTGAAAAGTAATTTTTTACAGCTGAACAGGAAACTGTGTGTTAAGCTCATACAAATGCTTGCAGAAATAAATAAATACCAGAAAGTGAGTTTTCAGGAGTTTTTCAACAGCTTCCTGTAATCATGGGTCTTAAAGTAGTCAGAATATTTTTGAAACAGTCCTGAACTCCACCTTATTTATTTTTTTTAACTTGTATAAAATGTGAGTGCTGTTCTGGCTGTGTGCGTAAAGTCTGTAGGGGATTCTTGGCCGGTGGATGAAGCCTACAATCGTCTGACCACCCGTCAGCCCAAACGATTCTGGACGTCTGGACAGTGGATGACTGAGAGACAGGGAGGATCTGATGTGGGTCAGTAGTGTCATGAACTAGCATCCTAAAGAAAAACGCAGAATAAAACTGATAACTACTGTCATGCATCGTGGGTTGCCTTTAACTGTCAATGTGCATTTTCTCAAGCCAGCGGCACGGAGACAATAGCGGTTTCTCAGACAGATGGTTCATATAAACTTCACGGCTATAAGTGGTTCACGTCTGCTACAGACGCTGATATGACTCTCACACTGGCCAGAACACAGGACGGAACCGGAGCAACGACACCGGTACAGCTGCCTCTTGTAACATCAGTCATCACTCCTGTTAAATGACTTACATAATGTTGTGCGTGTGTGTGTGTTTGTGTGTGTCTGCTTGTGTCTGCTTGTGTCTGCTTGTGTCTGTGCTGCAGGGTAGTAGAGGTTTGTCTTTGTTCTATGCAGAGGTGTGCAGAGGTGAGGATGGCCGGCTAAAGGGCATCGAGGTTCAGAGACTGAAGGACAAGCTGGGCACGAGACAGATGCCGACTGCTGAGCTGCTGCTGGATGGTCTACCTGCACACAAGGTCAGTCTCACACCATCATTATCTGTCATTGATCAAAGCCTGTGTCAGAAATGAGCTGAACCTTTCTGCTGTATTCTGCCAAAGCATACGTTTACTTTATGTTTATGTTGATTGATTTTCCATTCAAAGTTATGAAAATTTACAGCAGCTTTCTAAGCAAACATTACATGAAGTGAATTACCTCTACTTTTCTCCAAACAACACAGAGCAGCAAAAACCAGAGCCATGAGCTGAGAGCAGTGGGAAGCTGAAAGAGCTGAATTAGTCAATGATTAGTGTTAATATCATAGTTCAGCTTTGTGGAGCTTTAACCACACGCAACTTTTTCCTTTCCATGCCTTCTTCAAAGAGTCTTAAATAAAAACAATGCTTGTTGTTATTCTAGCGTAAACACACTAAATTGCTGCGTCTTAAGTCAATAATACACACCAGTTCAATACAGTGTACAATACATGCAACTCATTACAGCATACGTTTTAGCAGTTTCTACCATTTACACTACTAGGATATAATCGTATGTGATAATAGATGTCAATGAACTGTGTCTTTGAAATGATCAAACCTGGTCTGTGTGGTTTGAGAATATTCATTTTTTCAGTTCTTCAGTGTGATTGTACAACATACTAACTACATGCTTAGAATAGCTCTTCATGTGGTATGGATTTTAGTCTACGCTCCTGCTTTTACTAAAAGCCTAGCCTAGGCAGTTTTATAAGCTCATGCTTCATTGCAACAAACATTTTATATGGAAACAATACTTTATGATCATTCATTTGACAACACAGAAATATGTCAAAATGATTTTCATATTTTTTCTTCTCTATATTCACAGCTGTCAGAAGAAGGTCGAGGTGTGGCCTCCATAGCTAACATGTTAACAGTAACCCGGATTCACAACAGCGTATCTGCAGCAGCTGCAATGAGAAGGCAGAAAAATACTCACACTACTTCACACCAGTCCTAGCTAAATGCTACGTAAGCTGATTATAAAATGTGTATGTCTGTGTGTGATCACAGGGTGGTGCAGTTAGCTCGTGACTATGCCACTCGCCGCACTGCCTTCGGAAAGCTTCTTAAAGACCACCCACTGCACATGCAGACTCTGGCTAGGATGGAGGTAAGCTGGCATCGGGTGAAAAAAGAAAAACACAAACTCACTGCAGTTTTTCCCATCATGCCTCACTCATGCCTGCAACATGGACAGGTGGAGACTCGCGGAGCGTTCCTGCTGGTGATGGACGTGTGTCGCCTGCTGGGCCGAGAGGAGAGCAAATGGCGAGCTCGCTGGATGCACACCTACTCCGTCTTCTCACTCCTGTGGTCAAACTGTACACTGGGAAGCAGGTACTTGGATCATACAAATGTGATAAAAGTCTCTTTTCTGTCACAGTGACCTTACCATGCTTTGTTTTGTCCCAGGCGGTGGCTGTGGTGTCGGAGGGTTTGGAAAGCTTTGGGGGACAAGGCTACATCGAGGATACCGGGCTGCCTGCAATGCTTCGGGATGCACAGGTGAGGTAAATTCTTGAGACAGAAGATCTGGCATTTAATTATTTCAACTTTGAAGCTCACCTGTCACTTTTTCGGTCAGGTGTTGAGTATATGGGAAGGTACCACAAATGTTCTGTCTCTGGATGTGCTGCGCTGTGTGGCTCGTAGCTCTGGAACGGTTCTTCATGCTTACTTTTCTCACACTAAGGTAGAGAATCAGGAAACAATCCACATGTTCAGTAACTTCCCTATGACACAGTTGAACAGAAATATGATGTGCACATGATTCCTTTTCCTTGCAGTCCTTGCTCTCAGGTGCATCAGGTGTTTCCTCATTGGCTCCAGCAATAACAGCGGTAGATGCTGCTCTGTCTGAACTGAAGGACTTTGTTCAGGTAGCAGCTACCAGAGAACCTGGCTACCTGGAGCTAGCAGCCAGAGACCTGGCATACAGCTTGGCTCGCATCTACACAGGTACGTACCACAACACTCAGTGAGTTTACATGCAATGAGAAAAGATTTTGATTTTTTTGTTTCTTAACATAGCAGAAGTCACATTGTCATCTGCACTGAGCAAGTACGAAACCAAAATGTAAAGTTGTCCATGATTTCACTTCACTGATTTAGAATTGCACTCCTGTAGCATTGTTGTGCTCTCTAAAAAAAAAAAACATAAACAGTGCAGCAAAACCAGAGTCATCTTCTCTTATCCACACAATCTCCTGTCTTGTTGAAACCTTTGGCAAACATTACCCACAATGTACTTGACCTCCAACAGATTAGCTCATGCAGACTCGAGTTGTTAGCCCAGAGCAGAGAGTCATTGAAGGTGTCTCAGACTTTATTGAATTCTCATTAGAGCCACAAAATCCTTCTTTTTTTCATATAGAACACTCATCAAGACCTGGAAACTGCATGTGTATTTTAAATTATTACTGTCTTCATGTTTACAAGGTGCACTTCTCATCGACCATGCATGTTGGACAGGAGCCTCTCCATCTGACGCCTATGCTGCTCTGAGGTAAAAAAAAAAAAGAAAAAAAAGGGGGCAAATTTCATTCAGTTTTGAAGGACAAAAATGTTTTATTGATTCATCGTACATGTTTATCATCAGGTGGTGTGAGAAAGACCTGTGTCCTGTGGTGACTAAACAGAGGAGAGGCTGCTATGATCCAAACTCTCCTCCACTCGATGCTGCGCTGGTGTATGATCAGCTGATTCAGGACTGAAAGTGTTCAATGATAACGGATGATTAATGTTCATTCTGTGACTTAATCTGCCTTGTTATGCCTTCCTTTAATTTTGTCAAATCGAGTTAGGTTTTTCAGCGTTTATATTATCACTAAGACTATGTTTAGTAAATAATCAAACCCATGTATATAAACACAGAAATGAAACTGAATATGAAGTGTCTAATAGATCACTCTTCTATTTGTAAGGAAATTATGTGGTGATGTTTTTATTCCTAACCACTGTATGTACGTATCTGATTTATGTTGTGGATGCAATAAATGGTGAACCACAGTTTAATTTTTTTGTAGCATGGAATTTTTTCTAAGGCCTGATGTGTAAAAATGTGATTTGTATAAATAACACATAACCCCAGGCTTTTCAAACACCTCCTTGTTGCTTTCACAGCCAGAAGATCAACAAACCAAAAAATGAACTGGAGCACAGGTCAAAAGCAAGAAGAGCTTTGACTGTAGGAGTGAGTTTAATTTACATGCTGCTTTCATGTACTGTTGAAAAATTCTTAATTTGAGATGTTATGGAAAACAAATGAACGCTGTAGTTTTACACAATTTATAAATTGCACTCCTTTTTGTTGTCTTGATGTTTACATGTTGTTTTGTGTGTATAGACAACACAAGTCATATTTGTAGGCACAAGAAATAGTTTTAATCACAACTATTTATATCAAATCCAACAGGAAAAAGACCGTAAAATATGTTCACACTAATTTTGCCAAACTTAATTTCTAAAATGTGGTGAGGGTAAAGCTTGCTTACAAGGCTATCAATGGCTGTACAGAACCTTTTTAATATAGATGAATAAACGTGTGTGTGTGTGTGTGTGTGTGTGTGTGTGTGTGTGTGTGTGTGTGTGTGTGTGTGTGTGTATATGGTTTTTTCGCAATGAGGAGGTCTTGAGTTTACGAGGCGTCCCTGAAGGTGGCGCATCTTGTTCGACAGACAGTAGGTGGAGCTTTAAACGAACGTGTACACAGTGTACGCGAACAGTGTGAAGCTGAGCACACGGGCTTACAACTAAGCTTGGAGAAATAAAGGGGAGATATGAAATAAAGCTGGACATTCAATATAAACAACGGAATATTTATTTTCTTTTTTTTTTAATGAAGCTGAAAGGTCCGGACTGTAGGACTGAAGCCATCAAACCCAGTCCTGTGAGAAAGCAGCAGAATGGAGGCAGCTCCAGGATAGAGTGAATCATGTCTCCTGCTGTTTATCTGTCACTTCTGGTTCTTTTATCCTGTCAGCAGCGGACCAGCTTGGGCTCTCTTTCCCGCAGGAACCAGGCGAGGTGGTCCGGAAACACAACTTTAGCCATGATGTCTCAAAGCAACGAAGATAAGGTTTGTAAGAATTGATAATAGAGACAAAAATAACATGTTGACATTCTTCGTTTTTCAGGTGTGACTTCAAGTAGGTTGTCAGGAGGTTTTCCAGCTGTCACGTGACTTGCCAAGTTTAACAGCTCTGTTTAATATGTGCATGTTCACATGACAGCAGGACTAACTTTTACATCATGGTGCTCTGATCACTGCTGGACATGTAGGATTGTGTTTATGTTTGTCTAGTATCTTACTGAGGACCATGAGCTGCATGGTGTCACAGCCTTTATACAGTCCTGACATTTTGGTGGCAACTCATTTTTATTTATTGTAATGAAACATTACCATCACAACGAACCAGACCTCGGAAATGAATTCTGTTTATATTAAGCTTGTGTAAATCTGTAGATGGACCTTCAATCTAAGTCTATATTCAAACCTGTCTTATTCCTGCTGGTATTTAGCCTGAGCGTCTGCTTCTTGCAATGCTTTTCACAAGAATGCAGTCCAGCTTAGCTGCTCTACCACTTGTTTCACAATGCCGTTTAACAATTATGATTGATCGATTGTACTCTATGTATATGTCATGCACACAAAGTGCTCAGCCGTCGTGGGTTTAAGACACCAGAAATTCAATACTAATTATAGTCTAATCATTTCTAATAACCTGCCATTCCCATGTAAAGTAGTCATCAACTCTGCAAGCAATATCATTAAAAACAGAAAAATTGATATCTGACATCAAGATTTAGTAAGATTACATTTATGTAAGGGCTTCTTTATTGGATCGCACTTTATTTTACAGGGGTGAAATTGGCCACTGAGTATATGTACAGTAACAACAATAACAAAACTCCTATTTGAGGCTGTTGAAGGCAGCGTTGAGAATCAATAAGCAGGACAGCTTTATAACAATATGGAATTGTTCCAACACACTAAATCTTCGAGCTACATGTGGAGGAATTTAAACCAGTTAGAAGGAAGACTGATTATTTCTCTTTGTGTGTTTGTGTATCTGTGTGTGTGTGTGTGTGTGTGTTCAGTGTGACCTTGTGATGAACCTCAACGCCTCAGAACGCTGTGCCTTCGTAAGGAACACGTCCGACTGTAGCATGGAAGATGGCTTCATCAACTACATTAAAGTGGCCTTCTGTCTACTCCCTGCCAACCTCACACCCCTCATCATCACTCTCTGTGTAAGACCTGTGTGTGTGTGTGTGTGTGTGTGTGTGTGTGTGTGTGTGTGTGTGTGTGTGTGTGTGTGTGTGTGTGTGTGTGTGTGTGAGAGAGAGAGAGAGAGAAACTGCTTCCCAACACCAGCTGATAATTTGAGGAAGTTGACTCTCCTCTGCGACAAAACAGAGACTGATTCATTTCACTCTTTCATGCTAAATAATGGATTTTCTTGTAAAAGGAAGTGACCTGCTTGAATATCCCTGTTTGCAACATAAGTAATAATACTGTAACCCTGAAAGTAGCATAAATCTGTCTGTGTATAAAACTCTTGATTACATTAAAGATTAGGAACAACAGGATCAATGTGGTGGAATAAGGACTTGTTTATAAAGTTCAACATTTTCAGCCTCGTTCATCGAGCGTTTATCCGAGTGTGACCGACTAAAGCAGCACTCGTGTGTCCTCTTGAGTGTGTGTTAACAAAACTTGACATTCTTCTGTTTCTCCACAGATTGTATGGCTGCTCTTTCTGTTTCTTATCCTCGGACTCACAGCGTCAAAGTTGTAAGTGTCTCTCACACTGTCTTTTCTGCACATGTTGTTCCCGTTTGTGTGCCGCCTAGAATAAATCATTCATTTTCTTTTAACGGTTTGTGCCAGGAAGGGCGGAACACCGTGTTTGCAGGTCCTCATGTAGAGAACACCCACACACACCCCCACACACACACACACACACACACACACACACACACACACACACACACACACACACACACACACACACACACACACACACACACACACACACACACAGACATAAATTGATTTCCTAAGTGTGGTAACAGTCAGGTGACCATAGTTTTTCAATGATGAAGAAAAAAGGGTTGTAAGATTTCATTAAAGGAAGGACAGTTAGTTCTGCATTTCTTCCTCATTCCCTCACTAGTGCACTAGTCTTCTGTGGAGCTGTACAGTATAGCTAAGTAAAGCTAAGTAGATATATTCTATTCTGTAAAAAATATTCTGTTGTTCTGTGAGTTTGTTTGTTTTGGATCACCCTTTCATTTCTAACATCATTTATTCTACAGTTTCTGTCCTAACCTGTCAGCCATCTGTACCAGTCTGCACCTCACTCACAACGTGGCTGTATCCTTTATATTTATCCGATATAATCTCCTCACACGGTCTGATTTTGTTTGGATTTGTATGTACAATGAGTTCAGCGCAGTCTGCCTGCTGAGTCAGTTCCTCTCTGAGGGATTTCTGCCCTTTGTCTTTCTATTTGTTAGCCTGCTATCAGAGTCGTGAAATTCATTTATCAAGAAATGTTTTCTTTGACTTGCTGAGGGTGTGACATTTCTTGCTCTTGGTAACGGAGCTCCCGACATCTTTAGTGCCATGGCAGCTTTCTCCAACCCACATACTGCTGGGCTGGCTGTCGGGGCCTTGTTTGGTGAGCACAGTCTCAACCACAAAATGAAAATGAGCAACTCAACTTTTAAAAAATATAAAAACCACTTGGTTTGTCATTCTCCTCATTCATTTATCTTCCTCCCTGTTCAGGAGCCGGGATATTTGTCACCACAGTGGTTGCGGGCAGTGTGGCTCTGGTAAAGCCGTTCACTGTGGCCTCGCGTCCATTTCTTCGCGATGTCATCTTCTACATGGTGGCCGTGTTTTGGACTTTTCTCATGTTGTTCAGAGGAACGACCACACTGACAGAAACACTTGGTACATTCACAAACACACACAAACATGTACATGCAGGCAGACACACACACACACACAAATATGAATTTGAGCATACTGAGTTAAATCATGTTTTATTTCATTTAGGTAATAGCATGTTGATAAATAAACTGTATCTGTAATGTCAAAATTTCTTGTTTCATATAATAATTATGTATATTGGTAGACTTAACAAAAAAGGATGTGACCCCTATCAGTCCTCAACCATTCGATTCCTAACACCTTCTGCTTCAGAGCAAAGTCTTTGTTTTAGTTGTACACCAAGAGATCAATAAGAGACTTAGGTGAAAGTGAGCCGAGAAAAAGTTGTTGTTTTTTTTGTTATGAAACCCTTGAAAAATGTTGAGTATGTTCTAAGTTTGTTGTCACTCTAAACCCCTTTTTTATTAATTTTAAAATGCAGAGGGTTCTGCAGCTTAGCAGCAGGTTTTTCACTAAGAGTTTTCTTGTGCTGGAGCCAACATCTACAGCCCAGCCTCAGGCTGTAATATCAGCTGCTTTCTGATTAGTGGTGGAAGAAGCACTCAGACGGTAGCACAACCACAGTGAAAAAAAAGACTGAAGTACAAGTCAGTGAATAGGTTACTGTAAGGCATTTTGCATTGCATTTGATTTGTATGAAAGGTGCCATATAAATAAAGCTACATTGATTGAATAAGTAGGTAAAAGCACATAAGTGTTTGCATCATGATATACTTCATGTATCCAAATGCAAAGTACTCAGCATGCATTGTGGCTAACTTAAGAATTACTAATGTCACTAGATGATCATTTATGATGCCTTTATATGTAAATATTTAATGTTACATCTGGTAAAGAAGGGACTTTTTTAAATCACTCCTATACTTCTAGTTTTATTATTAATAATACACCATTATTCATTCATTTGTGAAAACTTTTAAATATAATCCAAATCTTGAGAACAATCAATAACTTGTGCTTTCAAAATTGTTTTGAAAATGTAGTGGAGTAGAAGTTTAAAGTAGCTCCAAATTTAAACAAATAAGTCCAAGTTAATAAAACAAACTCAGGTGGAAGATGTAGGACAGCAGACGTTAAAAGCCACAACATGTCTCCCACATATTTTGTCATGTTTTCTCACAAACTCCAAGTTCTCAGTATTTCCCAAAAAGGTTCACTGTAGTGCTTCATTTCATCTCTCTAGGTTACCTGGGCCTCTATGTGGTCTATGTGCTGACTGTTATCATCAGTGCATATATCTACAACCGGCAGAAGAACTCGACCAACTCAAGTGACCAGAACGCTGCACGTGTTCCAGGTGAAAAACACAAATACCTTCAACAGGTGAAAAAAACATGTTGCAACAATTGCAGGTATAAAGATGGCTGTGGCTCAGTTAGTAGAGTCGTCGCCTCTCAACCAGAAGGTCAAGGATTCAATCCCCAGCTGAGCAACATGTCCGATGTGTCCTTGATCAAGACACTTAACCCCGCATTGCTCCTGCTGCTTCGGTGGCAGTGTATGAATGGATTAGTATTGTGCTTGCTCTCTTGATGTACGTCGCTTTGGTTAAAAGCATCTGCTAAGTGAATTGTAACTATTTCTTGTCTTTGCAGCTGAGTTTCACTCGTCTGACTCATCTGATGATGATCCCTGCATGCTCGATGGGTCCATCCAGCATGAGTACGGTAGGAGTGCAGCACCCTCCTATAACCCACAACGTAACTAAATGTACAGAAACACACAACTGCATTAACAGTGTGTGTGTGTGTGTGTGTGTTTCAGAGTCAGAGTACAGACCACTTCTTCCATACACTGAGACCACGACTCAGATCCTACTGAGCGCTCTGAACCCAGTGGACAGCAGGAAGTGGAGGAGGAGATCATGGAGGTGGAGAGCCCTCAAAGTACTGAAGGTGTGTTTGCTTTTCAGACACAAGGAGAAGTACAAAATCAGAAAATCAGAAGAATCAGAAAAGCACAAAATCTGAATGAACTGGTTTGTGATGTTCTTGTGACACTTGTGTTTTCGCTGTCATCAGACACCTCTCGAGTTCCTGCTGCTGCTCTGTATCCCTGTAGTCGACCCTGATAAAGAGGACAAGAACTGGAGACGCCCACTAAACTGCTTCCATCTTATCTCTTCTCCTCTGGTGTGTGTGCTCGCCTTCCAGTCTGGAATATGTAAGTGCATCACTTTTCATGCTAAATGCTGCTAACATACATGTAGCAGCTGTAACAAGATGACAAGACAATGTAAAATCCTCTTCTGTTTTTTTTCACATCAAGATGGAGAATATATGATCAAAGGGCAGTTCCCCATCTGGCTACTAACTCTGCTGCTGGGACTTTTCCTGTCCGCTATTGTCTTCTGCACCACCACAAATGACAGTCCTCCAAAATATCACCCAGTAAGTCGAGGAAGAGTGATGGGTGGGGAGATGGGGTGTGTAACCTTGATTTTTTGCAGACATTAGAGGATGTAAATGGTAATACGACACTATTTGGGCAGCACATTTTTTAGCTTTATGCTCACATACAGTAATGGTTCAATAAATTCTGCAAAGTTGCTTGAATATCTTAGAATAAAGCTACTGTATAATCACAATACATTCAATATCTCTCCCCTTTTAAAGCATTTTTATCACCAAATTAGATGAATGTATTGTTAATGCATGCTAAGATGGTGAAATATGTTCCATTTCTGGGGTTCATGCAAGTCTCTGATTTATTTTTGTGCCTCTGCAGATGTTTGCCCTCCTGGGCTTCGTGGTGAGTGCAGTGGTGATCAGTACAGCGGCCTCTGAAGTGGTCAGCCTTCTGCACATGCTCGGTGTGGTGCTGAGTCTTAGTAACACCGTGCTCGGTTTGACTCTTCTTGCCTGGGGCAACAGCATTGGAGGTAAATTCTATGAAACCTTTTTTTTTTATATATATCACAGTGGAAAAAAAGTATTCTACTTAAACTCTTGGCATGTTTCCCTCTTCTGCAGACTGTTTTTCTGACATTACCATCGCCCGGCAGGGTTACCCACGGATGGCCATTTCTGCCTGCTTTGGGGGAATCATTTTCAGTATCCTTTTTCTTTTTTGAGGACATGTGTTTGTTAAAAAAAACTTCTTTTTTTTCATGAACAATAACTGCTTTCAGTGGCTTTGTCCTTAACAGTTTTTCCTTCAGACATGCTGTTTGGGGTGGGTTTAGGATGTTTGATGCAAATATTCAAAACACAATCTTTTGTGCAGGTAATCTCCTCAAACTCTCAGATTCAGAGTAAACAATTACAGTTAATCGTTCTCAAAAGATAATCATACTGCACATCTGTCTCTTTCTCCTCCTCAGTTTGAAATAGAGGGTTTGCTGACGTGGATTCTTGCCGGCTCTCTGGGTCTGTCTTTGGTCCTGTCCTTCGTCATCGTTCCTCTGTGCCGGTTCCACTTGGGACGTCCGTACGGGATCTTCCTCCTTGCCTTCTACTTAATTTTCCTTGTCATTGCACTGCTTACAGAGTTTGGAGAGATCCACATCCAAAAGATCTGACTTTGAGGCCATTCTGAAATAAGGGACACGTTACCAGCACCGTAGAGTGTCATGAGCCTCCATGACACACCTGAACAGAGGCTGCTGCTGCACTGAGGGCAGATCTACACACTATTTATACAAGAATCATGACTTCACTTTGTGCACTGCGTGCTCTTCAGAAGCAGAGGGGGCAAATTGTTAACAAATTCTTCTGCACATGGAGAGCTCAAACTAATCATCACATTGTGCCTTTATTCAACCATTCTTTTGTGCTGACCGAAGCTGTGACAGCACTTTGTGGGTACACAGGGTAAACACATGTATTTGTAAAATTATAAACATTGTGAATGCACTAAATGTACTGTAAATCCAAATGTTCAAATGACCCTGTACAAAAGTGCATTTGGGGCATTAAAATCATCTGAGTTTGGTATTTGTTTAAACAGGTGGTACAGCAGGAATGCTATTCTAGTCCTTCTTTGCTTCCCATGTTGATTTAAACGTTGAAGCTAAATTAGCAGTAACCAAGAGTTTGGTAGTATAACAAAAATATATCGCTGCACATGACAACTTGAACAATTTAATAAAATCCCTTAATAACTAACTAAAATACATTACAGAATAAGAAGTTATAAAAAGGTGAAATACTTTGTAGTTGAGACATTATTTGAGCTAAAAGAAGTGTAATAGCATAACATTTTGGTTTTTAAAGTTTTAGTAGAAGGTGTGTTTGAGTTACCGTTCATATGAGCTACTGTACTAAGGCATCAGGTTGAAGTTCTATATGATTGACATGAGCTCACAGAAGGCCTTCAGCAGTATACATACACAACATGCTGTAACAGTTCAGATTCCCTGCTCATGTTTCCTGCAGTCTTTAAAAAGGCCAAAAGAGGGCGACATTCCCGCCTCACTGGTCCAATGACACACCTGTACTTCTCCAGGAAAAGGTAGTCTTAACCTCGTCTCACTCTCACGAGTCCAAAAGGTCCACGATGTTCTTCCCACTGTGGTACAAACGGAGCTCAGGGAGCTTCAGAAGTCTCCTTGACTGATGGGGTTTCTTAGCAATGTTAAAATACACTCTTGTTGTGGTGTGTATGTTCTGTTAGGAGTTAGTTAATGCTGTGAGGTCCAGTCTGTGAGTTGAGCTGAGGCTCTGGAAAGGAAGACAGATTAGAGAAAGGACTGTCCAGTTCTGGCTGAGGCAGGTTTTCCCTTGAATACTCTGCGTACCATTCCTGGAGAAAGAAAGGCGTAGATAGAGTTAGGAGTTTACCACACAGCTAGAGTTCTCTGTATTCAGCATTATTTTTTTTTTAATCAGTTTCTTACCTGTATCTCCTCCTCGTACATTTTCATGCTGAGGTCACTTTTAGTCCTGGACCTGCGCCCGAGGTACACCAGAGAAATGTGCTGTACAAACCAGAGCAGATTGAAAGCCAGTTAGTTAGTGGGGCTTTTAATGTGCAGAGCAAAGGAGAAAGAGGTTATAGTGCGAGTTTGTGGTTTTTACCCCGCCTCTGTCCATCGCTTGTAGGACTCCCTGTAGAGAGCTGAGGGAGGACTGTCCTGGGCAGATCTGTTTATACAGCTCCAGAGCAGCCAGAGATTCATCACGACTCACCTCTACCTCAAACACGATCCCGTTCTCATCTAAAGGCATGAACCAGAAAGGTTAGAACATACATTACTGGCATGTACATATTCATTTAAATAAGCTTTTCATTCATATTTTATTGTTAATGTAAAACAAACAAGGCTTTTTATTTAAGGTACTATAGAGTCTACATTTCTACACAATATAAACACAAACTGTCTCACCCTCTGGGTTCACTAGTGGTTCTCGGTTCTTGCGGCTGTAGTTCATGCGGAACACAAACGCATCCAAGATGAACGCCACAATAATGGTCATTACAACCTGCATGTGGAAAAGAGAAAGTATAACACATACATGATCACATTCATAGATGAAGACAAAACTGTGCAAACTTCAACAAACAATGTCACAAGCTCCTCCAGCAGCACAAAGAGCTGCACACGCCTTACCATCGTAACAATGTAAAAGGTCATGAAGTATAGCCGGCTCCAGTGGCTCGTCATAGAAGTGACTCCTTCCTGGGAGACAGTGAGAACAGCAGAGGTCAAACAGTGACACCTACTGGTCAACAACAAGACTGCAGAGTGTTGACTGACAAAACAACACACAATAATATGATCTTACCATGGTGATGTACCAGTTATTGACTACAGTCAGCTCAAACAGGGTCACTGGAAGTGGAGATAGCAAGAACATAGTGCAGAATTTAAAAACAGGCAACATTTACACGTCTTGAGAGAAAAAAAACAACAATTCTGTCAGAAATGGAAAAAATGAGTCATCTCTCGGAGGTTGTTTTCCTCGGTAAAGTAGACCTGCTGAAAATATTCCAAAATAAAAGCATTATTTCTGCTGTTTTACTGTTTTATAAAAACTACACCACTTTACAAAACATATTCCTCTACAGCTTTTAAGATTTTGCTGATAGTAATGCAGATATATACACTCCAAAAAAAAAAAAAGAAGAAAGAAATAAAGGACTTACCAAAGCTGCTGAGAATGTTGTTAAAGTTATTGAGATAATAATAGCCTTCCTCTAGTACTGTTTTGTTGCCGTAGGTGACATTGATCAGTCTGTACGAGTCTGCCACTGTGCTTGTGCTGAGAGAAGAAAAATAAACGTAACACGTTAATTACAGGAAGTTAACATTGTTTCTCCTCTGGTGACACAATGCTTAATCTATGTTAATGTTAATTCATCCAAATCAACCAAAACGTAGAATACTTATAAGAAATTCAAAAAAACTCACTTGCAGCAGTTTGGATAGATCACATCAGCAAAGAACTCCATCCCCACGATGGCAAAGGAGTAGTAGAAGATGATTAAAGTCAGACCCAGACTTGCCATCCTCGGGAAGAGCTCAAACATGGTGTCCAACACATTACAATACCTCTGCTTTATCTTAAACAACCTGCGAGAGAAGACAAAACAAATTCAAACATAAAAAACAGATAATAGTGCGTCTAAAATAATGTTTGAATGTATAGATAGAAATGTACCGGAGAAGCTGAAAAGGTCGGAGAACTACAATGAAGTAAAACGGCTCCATATCGAAGGCGAGAGCAATCAGACCCATGAAGGCAAACACTGTCACTGAGAAGTCAAACCTGGAGTGAAGAGCAAACAAAAAGAGAATCTGTGTTGTCACAAAACAAGCCACATTGAAATATTTGTGATTTTTGAGTAGAAGTACTGAATCCTAATGTACAGACTCATATATGCTCTATTTATCTATTTATTAAGTCTTATGCTTACTACTGTATAACTTGCGATCAAAAGTGTCAACAACTTCATTGTCCAACAGTCTGAAGTTTTGGATTCAGTACTCGTCAAATATTTATATTCAAATAATCCCAGGATCCAAAGTTTTACTCACAGATTCCACCCAGAGCTGAAATAAGCCATCGGCCCCAAACCGGAAATTTTTAACAACACCTCTACACCATAAACTATGAAAGGAAAGACAGAGGCAGAGTTAAAGTCAGTGTAAGTGCATTAAAAAAACATAAAACACCATCTTTAGTCATTTTTTTTTTTTAAATGGCGTGTGAAATCTGAACGCGCAGCATACTAACTGGTCAGGAAAACAATGTAACTCCACGGGACGATTCTGGACCAGGAAAATCCACCTGCACAAAGAGAGGAAGGTAAGAGAATGTGTTGTTGGGAAAAAAAACCCTCTCCTCTTCAGTGACATGTGTTTATGACACGGGGAAAAGATCCTACTATTCAGCGTGTACGTCTCCACGAGGATCCATACACCGTTGATGGCCACCACCACATCTACAGTCCCAAGGAAAGGTTGAAAGGTTAATGATGAGAGACTCTGTCTATGTGGACAGCTGGGGGAATGTTAATTATTACACTTACACATGGCATACTGAAAGCCTTTTGACTTCACAAGCAGGTTGATGCCTGTTAAGAAGAAGGAGAGCACTGAAAACAAGGAACAGAGTGATTTCAAAAGAAAAAAGAGAAGCTAAGAAATAGAGCACTTGCCTTTGAAAATGAGGAAGGTTGTGTGGGGGAGGTCATCAAACCAGTGCTCTCCACTACGTCGTGCCTAAGCAACACACAGAAACAGAAAATGCAAATGAAAAACAGAGAAAAGCACAATATAGAGTGAATATGATCGACACAGAGCAAGTGTGAGGGGACTTACCTTCCATTTAAGGCCAATGACCTCATAGAACTTATAAAAGTCCTGCAGACTGTAGAAGAGCAGACATCCATTAAATCATGAACAATTAAGCATTTTATAACAGCTTGTGTGCGAGGCTGTCACCTGAGCATGGGAGCTCCTGAGGTGTTCAGAGTTTTGAATGTGAGGAAGCGATCTCGTGCAGACATCCTCGGTCTGTAAAACCGCATCAGACCATCAAACTGTTTCAGCGACACACCCAACGGCCTCTGAGGGAGAAAAAAACCAAATCATCAACAACACAAACACTGGGGGGGGGGGGTTTAACAAGTAAGTGCTTTGTACAACTTATTACATTTACACTACATAGAAGAGTGAGCTTGTACCTGCCGGCTGACCAACAGCTGAAACGCGTGGTCGATAGCTGAGCGCTTGTGAAGCAGAAGAGATTTAAATTTCATCTTCTCCACACCATTAAACGTGTCAAACACCACAGCCAAGAGCTGGACGAAAGGGAGAAGTGAAGCTGATGAGTTTTCATGACAATGGACTTACTTACTCCCTATTTATTAGGATATATATAAAAATTCTTATATGCCAGTTGGCACAGACGGTGCCTGTCATTGAATAGAAATGCCTTGTTTACCAGGTTCATGATGAAGTAGAGCTCTATTGAGAGGTAAACGATGAAGAAAACACAAGACCAGCGGTTCTTAGAGTAAGATGGCATCATCACGTCTGGAAAACTACAAGAAAAGAGAAGCAAGAGAGACAGTCATAAGATATGAGCTTAAAACTGTGGAATCAGCCTAAACACACATGTGGTGGCACCAAAATATTTATAATGAGCTCTGAAAGTAGGAAGCACTGCTGCAATGCTGTTTAGATGGAGATAATATGCTTACTTTGCTGTGGTCAGCAGCACAAACAGACTGACGAGGCTGTTCTCCAGAGTGCTGAAGTACTGTGGCGAGAAGAGAGGGTTTCAGTCAGGAACTGGGACCACTACAGACCGGAACTAAGAGAGTCCCAGAACTCACATTACTCAAACAAACTGATATCAGAAAAACTAAAGACTCAACATACTGGGTCGGATGTGTTTGTAGAGAAGAGGCAGAAACCTGAGAGAGAGACAAACGTAGAAAAAACAGAAAACCCTCTGAAGACAAAAAGTTCATTCTTTGTCTATTCAAACATTTAAAGTAAGAATCAACAGTATTCAAAAAACAAACATCCCATTTATATTTTTCTTACCCAAGATAGCAAAAATAACCATGAAGAAGAGCAGCAGAAGGAGGATGTCAATAAAAGGTGGGAGGGACTGGAAGATCTGACGCAAGTTTCTGATTGGACGAAAGAAGCCAAGTTAAGGAAAATCAAAATCACAGCACATTGAAAAAAAAAAAAGGATCTTGAAATTTTCAAAACATTAAAATAAAAATCGCATGAGCAGTAAATATGAATATTTAAAAACAAGTTTGATTAAGAATGTACAATCTTCAGTTGAGTGTGGATCTTATCAGTAGCACCTGAAGAAGACACTGTCAAAGAATGTCAAAGCCCTCCGGTAAACAAACAGAATCCTCTGTTCTGTTCTCTGTTTTTATAATAATGCTGAAATTTCTCTCCAATGTCTTGTGACATGACCTGAGTGAATCTGTGTGTGTGTTTGTCATCATGTGTGTGTTTGTTTAGGTCGTTATGTACCTGCGCACAGCACCGCAGTATCTACAGTCCACCAGGAAAATAGGTCTGAGAGCTCTTGTCACTCGTACATGAGACGTCTGTCTGATCAGAACCACTATGGCCTCCACGAACTGCAGCAGCAACACACACGTCTGTACAAGAAGAGGGAGACTAAATGAGCTTTGCCCAAAAAGGCATAGAGCTGGGAATCTTTGGGTGTCTCACGATTCGATTTCGATTCTTGGGGTCACGATTCGATCCAGAATCTATTTTCGAGTCAAAACTATTCTGGATTCACGATTCAAAGTCTATATATAAATTAGTACTTACTTCAGGATCTACTCCAGTCATCACTGGCTGAATTTCTTGCTGCTCCATTTGGCATTCTACTGAGTTAGAGAGCTAGCCTTAGCACTTAGCAGGGAGGGACTAATTAACCTTTTTTTTTTTTTTAAATGATTTTTGGAAGTTATGAATCTATTTAAAATCTCAGAAGATAAGAATCTCGATTTTTACATAAATTGATTTTTTTCCCACCTCTAAAAATGGAAGCTGGATGCAGAATTATGCCTTGGACCCTGCAGACAGAAGTGGAACCTAGCACTACAAGAATAAGCATCCAGCATAACGGAGTGACTGATCCAAGAACAGGATTCAACAACACACGAAGTACCCATCATGCATCAGTCACCTTCACCATGGTCCTCTTGTGTCGTATGAAGGTGTGGAAGCCTAACCAGCGGAGTTTCATGCATAGTTCAAATGCCACCATAACCAAAGCCAGTAGCTCCAGAGTGGCGTGGACCTGCAGAGGTATCAAATACACAACGTGGTATTTTTTACTGGAAAAAAGTATATAAGAAGTATGTGTGGGAAAATGTTGACTTACATAGACATCCAGGCGCAGAGAGGGCACAGCGGGAGCTTCACACAGAGACAGCATCATGAGCAGCAGGCCTGTCAGCAGCTCCATCATGTAGAACAGGTGGTTGTGGGCAAACAGGTACGCTGCCAGTGCCTTTGGGTTACGAGGATGAGTGAAGAACTTATCATTGTTCTCTCCCTCCTGTGTGTGAAATGCAAAGAACACATAAAGAAAAAAAAATGAATCCAACATACTGTTATGTATGAGGTTAAATACCTTTATATTAGAGTATTCAATGTACTGTTTTCTGCCTTTGGTTGTTACTGTTCTTAAATGAGTATTCTTTTATAAATAACAGGACTTGTGTTTTGAGCACCAGGTGAAGACGGTTGTCCAGTCCTCTTTCAGCTCACAAGTGTATCAAAGATCAAGAAAAAAACTTCTACAACCCACTATATACCTGTCTCAGGCAAAAATCAATCCACCGCCTACAGGCAGCCCAAGATGCAGCAGCTCGGCTTTTTAAACAATAAACAAATGTGACAACATCATCCCCAATTTTAGGATGTCTACGTTGGCTGTCTGTTGTTTTAAGGATTGACTTTTTAAATTATTTTAATCATGTTTAAGGACCAACAAGGGCTGGCCACTCCCTATATTTCTGAGTCTGTGTCCCCCTATGAGCAGGGATCTTCTGGTAGTGCTATGCTGGCTGTTCCACGGTCCAGGCAGAAGATTAAAGGGGAGGGCTTTTGCTGTCAGAGACCCCAGACTTTGAAGCAGCCTGCCAGAAGAGATCAGACTTGCAGTCAGTCCCTTGATTTATTTCTCTCCTCAACACATAACTTTACAAAAAATCTTTAACTCTGTGACTTTCATTTATTATATTCTAACCTTGCTTTTATTGTCTGTGTGATTTTATTGCCTGCTTCTATTGCCTGACAGAAACACATATCTGCTGCCAGCTCCATGCTATCCACTGATCACAAGTTGGTAAAGACATAATGAGCCAACAAAGGCAGTGAAGAAGAAGCCTACAAATGTTTAATAGTGGATCCAAACGAGTCCAAGTTTCAATCAGCTTTGCAAATGAGTAGAGAAGTAGGAATTACTTTCAACATATTCTAAAGAATAGAGACGACACACATCGGGATTAGATGGGAAACTGTAAATGCATTGGAAATGTCTGGTACAACATAGCCTGCTGCAGACTGTGAAGTTAGGTCAGCACATAACAACAGCTGTCTTCAAATTTTAAATGACATCATCCGGTTTAAATATCTACAAGGAATACAGTTCAGAGGGTGTAATAAAGCCATTATATGACCATGTGATCTCTGTGCTCTTAACTAACAAATGCCTCAGTGTGCTGTTTGTGAATACCTGCAGGTAGATGGCTGCCTCTTGGTAGTTCATCTCCCAGCTTTGCCGTAATGACACATTTTGGGCTCTGTGGTTTGGTGGCCCGGGGGTTGAGATCACAGCATTGTTGACTATGTCATAATTTCCTCCTCCTCCATCTGGAAGAAAACAATGATGGATCAGTGTATAGTTACAGAAACTAAATACAAACTGTAACCTTAATTAATGCTTATATTAACTGCAATCACTTTCAGGTCTCTCTCTCTCTCTCAAACACACATACACATACATACTACATAGAGGTTTAGGTTCCTACCAATGCAGTCTAGTTCTAACTGTAAGGCGTAGGAGGAGATCACGACTGGACTCTCAGTTTGGATCTGATCTTCGTGGAAACCAGCTGCCCGTCTGCATAAGCACTCCATTGATTAGTTTGCTTTTGTCTTTTTGCTGCGGCTGTGCGAATGTATTAAAGGTCCCCGAAGTCCACAACACAGATATGCATGTGTGTGAGTATGTGTGTGTCATTCACAGTACGCTGGTCTTGATCCAGCGTCTACACACATCTGGAGATACAGATGGTCGAACATTCCACTTCGGCCTGATGCAAACTCCAGAAACAGTCACAGGCTTGGAGATGCAAGTCCTCTCACATCAGGAAATATCAGGGCCAACTCAGGGTTTAAAGAGAAAGTGGTGACACAATCCCTCTCTCTTGATTTGAGACTGGATCACCTGTGACAGTGAAACCTGACAAGGTTTCAAAGTGGAATTACCCTCCTGCCTAAGCCACAGAGTTTAAACTTTGAACCCAATGAGAAAGTGCCTTGCTTGCACTGATGTCACATTGTCTATTACACCTCCTTCCTGCCACAGACAGGATACAGACAAGAGGGGGATAAACCCTGAGAGAAATAAGTCCCGTTCCTACCCGAGGAACAGGAAGACATCTAGAATACAAAGAGAAAGTAGCATTCTATTAGGACTAACACAGAATAACCAAAGAATAACTTTTATAGCACCCGGTTGGTACTTATTTCTTAAACCTGCACAGAAAAAGATGAAAACTAAATTAACTCTCAAGTAGCCTTAGATTACAGATTTAAGCAGCATCTTTAACAAAAAATAAATCACAGTTGTATCTATCTGCAGCTGCATATTCAATCCTGTGCGAGTCCTTCTAGGTGCTCCTTTCATGCACTGTACATCACATATAGCTGCTTCAGGGCTAACTCCTTGGGATAAAAGACCATGTGAGTCTCTGAAATGCAGTCACAGGCTTTTCCTGTCCACCATGACAGCGGCAGACTGAGCAAAAGTGTAAAGAGCAAATTCCAGTCCAGCAGCAGCAGCCTGTATGTTATCCTGAGAGAAGAACACCCCGTGTCCACCGAGAGCAAATCCGACCCGTGGTTTGTGTGAGAACAATAACATGTTTATAATCCCAGTGAAAAACACAGACGGGTCAGGCTCACAGAAACACAAACAGGCTCAGCAGTCATGACAGTTTCTTCCAGGATGAATACAAATCTAGTGTTGTGGTGATTTGAAGCCTCCTTACAACCTGCCAAAGTGAACTTCCATCCAAGCATGTGATCTGTCACCGAGGTGATACAATGTAGCCTACTTCTCAGTCTCCAGGTTCAAAATCCCTCCTGTTTCCAGAAAGTTCCAACAGAAATCAGCAGGAACACTTTGACACTCCCTTCTTTTAATCCTCTCTCTGATATCATGAGGGGGGGGGGGGGGGGAAGAACACCCCTCTCCTCTTCCTGTTCAACTCCAGAGAAAATGTTCCAGTAAGCTCACAAACACTCGTACACACTTACACACCGGCTGTAGACATTCACAAACACACACATGCTGCCTAGGGAGGGGCTGAGGGGCGCACAGTCTGCTGAACCAGCAGTTTCTCAGGTGGGTCATTTTGTAGCTTATATGTGAGGAATACAAAGGCTGTAGGATTACTATGTAGAGTGGCTGCATGGATACCCATACATACACACACACACACACACACATACACACACACACGTGATCTCAGAGCCTGGTGGACAGTCCTGTTCCTCAATTTAAGCATTGTGTGGCCTGGACATGCAGCATGTATGCAGTGAGAGTCAACACTGTTAAATGGCATCAAGCTGCAACAAGTGCAACTCTGGTAAGTAGACAGGCATTGACTTCATGTAAAGAGATATAGTGATTGAATCGTGTTCAAAATACACTTTGATTAAAAAAAAGAAAAAAAAAAAGTGAATAATAATTTAGAAAACAAAAACACACATATAATTGAACTAGAAAGGTTGAATGAGTTGCATATATCATATATCAAACTGTATTGTGGGCTCACGTTTTTATTGTATGGGTGGGATATATATGTATATATGTGTTGTGTTGTGTGTTTGTATGTACGCTGGCTGCTGGAACAACTACATTTCCCTGCTGGGATGAATAAAGTCTATCTTATCTTATCTTAATCTTTAAAAAAATGTTGATTGTAATTGCTTGCTCCGTCTTTGATTCAGTGATACATCAGTTTGAAGGCTGCTTTGATTTTGACAGGAAACAAAAGCTTAGAAACAATACTAGAATACAACAGCACCAAGACCACTGCCTTACAAATATCCTTAAAGCTGAGTCAACTACTTCCAACTAGACTTTTATGAAGGCTTGATTATAATCAGGCTTTTCCTATTAGACCACATAATCTTGTGTGTGTGCCAGGCAGCTGATCATGGATTTATCCCCTTGCATTTTGTGTACCAAATACGATGCCACCAAAGCAACCTAGTCACAGATACAGTTTACACTGCACAGCTGCACTGTCACACACGATGATTATGTCAGTGTTTACCACAGGTATTGACTTACTTTCGTCTCCTCTGTCGGTCTCCTCGCTGAGCAGTCCGCTGTTTGCTTCGTCCCAGGTCAAGATTAGAGGCACGTCGTCGTCAGCCTCCATGCTGGCAGATAAACAGGCTTCAGTCTTAATTTGTTCAACTTCAATTAGGAGTTAATCTATGCCACGCAGGAGAGCTGTGAGCTAGTATAACAGAGCACTTTTGACACTTGCTGCAACCTCGATCATAGCTAACAGCTAACAAGCGGAGACAGTCTCCAGTCCATCTCTGCACCGTATCCGCATTCTCTGCAGCTTTTCTGCAAACATTATTGTTAACCGATGACTTTGCGGACCAATTTTAACGTTTCTATTAATCTTTCCGCAAGCAATGATAACGACACTGAACGATACTTGAAAAAAAAGCTTTGTAGATACAATCTGTGTGCACGTCTATGGCACAGTTCGATCAACAAACAATCACGACACTGACGCAATTTACGGTAAGAGTGAGCGTCGCCACATTTCAAAATAATAGTCAGGTGATCATAGACAAAAAAAACCTTTAATTAAATGCCATCACATTTATTCATAATTTCTTTAACGTATATGAAAACATGTTTATTTTTCGCTTTGTAATATGTATCCGGAATATACACTTGCGCAGGTTATTTGACGCTTTCACCCGCATTAGTGGTATCCTAGCAACAAAGAAAGAAACAACAAGAGACACTTCTGCTTTACATTTAAGAGAACAGGTAAGTTTGCTTAAATCAAAACTTCATATGAAACCTAGGCTCTGTATTTGAGACTTTGTCCAAAAAGCTATTTAAAAATGTCAACTAGGATTATGTTGTCTTATTAACTCACTGAAGATGACTTATTCAAAACTAAGTGGACCAATATGACTTGAAGATAAAGCACATAGCCTGCTCATAGGATCGAGGGATATGAAGATATTATTTTAGCTGTTTTGCAAATGTAGATCTTTATGTCAAACCCTTGGTAACCTAACCCTTTTCAATATCCTCCCTTAAGCTCATTGACTGAATTTAACACTTAAGCATACAAGAGTAGTACAATAAGACCATCAACATGTTTATTTAAGGCCCCCACAGTCTTTTATTAAACCTACTTTTTTGACGCAAAGATTCACAGAAAGAGTGACAGGCCTATCTTTAAATTTAAAAAGTAGGGTCTGAATATTTTGTCAGTAAACACATTTACAAGACAGACTGAGGGAGTTACTGCTTTGTGCACAGGGAACTCAGACCAAATAAACTGAGCTCCTCACAGAAGTTATTAAATCAAGGTTGCATTTTAAGTCATAGCTGGTCAAATTTAAGAAAATAAGATTAGACACATTTCTTAAATACGAACCTGGGTAATCACTATGGCCTTAACCGTGGTCCATTATATTTAAAAAGGGTGTGTAAATTAAGATATATCTCATTTTGTATGTCCTATTCTGATTTGTGACTGCATACAAAAATCTCAGAATGTGTACTCAGATTTGAAAGTGTGCCAAGATTACAATGTGATTTGTTTTTTATTGTGTTTTACTCTTTGCTTCCAGTGACCATTCAGAGATATAATGTCAGAAGGGACAATAGGACTGGTGACGACAGAGACCAGATCTGAAGATGCTCCAAAGAGCTGCGATGAACTGTCAGGGAGGAAGCTGCTTTCTCCTGAGGCTGGATGCATCGCAAAGATATTGGAAAACTGCATCAGTGAAGTTGAGTTTGTATTAACTCTGCCTGCTTTTCTGAAGTTAAACAGTTTGACTTGTGTTGCTGATACAGAGTTGAGCAGGGCACTCCAAGAACATCAAACTTTAGCTGAAAGACTTGAGACACTAGAAGGTCTCAGGCAGGAGTCAGGAGGAGAGCAAGAGAAGGGTAGTAAAGAAAGAGCTCAACAGGACTTCAAGAAGTCTGTCAAGAATCTGCTCAGGCTTGTACGAGCCCGTCCAGATGTCATTTCTGATTTTAGGTTAGAGCAGGATATGGAAGTAGGGGAGAGCGAGTCCATACTAATTAATGAGCTCAAAAAGTTTCACAGCCATATGGTGGAAAAGTTGCTAACCAGTGTGAGTGAGGAGCTAAAGCAAACCCTCTACAAGCCTACTTCTTCACCCGTCATTCCCTCTCACACAATGGACCTCATGAATTCAACGGAAGAAAAATTGTCTGCAGCAATAACGGAAAAAGATGCAGAGGTGAGGCACCTTGTTGGAATCATTTCTACCACTTGTAAAACTCTCAAGATGTATTTAAGGCAGAAAACAACAAACAACTTTTTCTAGTCTAATTTATCCTTTACTTTTGATCCTTTCATATCTCACTGTATTTTCTTACATTACAGATTTCTCAACAAAATATAGAGATAGAAAATTTGCAGAGTTGTCTAGAAGAGAAAAACAAAGAGGAAGCAGCCTTGTCCATTTCTGGAGACAAGCAGCACCCAAATGCCAAGACAATGAAGATGATCCGTTTGGAACAGGAAATAGATCAACTGAAGACCCAGCTGAAGAGTTTAAAGCTTGAACACAGACAGGCAGAGGGAGTGATCCTAGAGGTAGTGTGTCTTAAACGTCATTGTTTCTTTTATTTCACATGTTGGTTATAGTGACATTTATTTGACACATGGTTGTGTGTATCTTCCTCTGCAGAAAAATGAAGAATTGGAAAAAGATATTGAATCCCTGCTTCAAAATTTTGATGCTGATATGGGAGCACTCCAGGTACAAACTCTGTTATACATGCAACCTTTTAAAGCTTACAACTATATAGGAAAAAAGAAGTTAAGTGTATACTCTTGTTACTAGTTCTTATGCTTATGAAGACTATATTTAAGATGATTAACATGGCAATATACATTTCAATTCAAACATTTACAGATCCTTCAACCCCCTCCTCAGTTCATCCACTAAAGAGCAACACAATCACAATATGATTTTGTTAAACTATTTATGATATACTCATGATCCTGCTCTTAATATATGTTGTTTTTCTCATTTAATTTTCCTCACTAAATATCCATTCTTTCATCCTCAACACCATACCTGTCATTATCATGTATCACAGACCCACCTGGATTTCAATGAAAAAGAACATGAGAAGGAGCTGGAGGAGCTGAGGAAACAGGAGCAATCATTTTCTGTCCTAGAGGTGGAGTTCAACCAGATCCAGGAGAAGCATCGGCTTGAGGAAGAGAAGAGGAAACAGGAGATGAAGGATCTGGTGCTGAAGACCAAAGCTGCTATTTATGCCCAGGCCTGGTGGAGAGGCTACAGTACTCGCAAGGCTTTAAAGAACAAGGGCAAAAGCAAAAAGGCCAAAAAAGGCAAAGGCAAGAAGATCAAATAAATCACTTATACTGCTTAGTTACTCTTGGGATACAAGGACACAAATATATCGTATACCAGAGATTTTTTGGGGTGCTGCTGAATCATTCCCGTTATATTTGTTATTCAGTCTGATTTTATTTGTCATGACTCATGTTATAAACTGGTGTTTTACACAGGAGTTTTTTGTTTTTTTAATTGAATATATTCAATGACTATATCATTATCCCTACTATCCTTTTACTTGCAACATACCTGATCAGTGTTGGTTTAAACAGGAACTGATTCATTGGGTGACTGGTCACATCTTCCCTTAATGGCCACAGGGTGGCAGTACACAACTTGTGTTCTCAACATACAGTATATCAATACATTACAGTAATTTGGTCAAGAGGACAGAAGAAGCTGCATTTTAATTAACCAGCAGTATCAGTGATCTGGTTGCTAGACAAACATAGCTTTATAAATTTAAGTCAACTCACAATTGATGCTTAATATTTCTCAACCTTTAATATTTTCCTATTGGTTAATCACATTAACAGGCATATACAAGGCCAACAACACATCAGTAGGAACATACAAAATGACTCATTCTTTCCATATGCTGGTTTTGCCTGTCTCTGAGGCTTTTGTTGTCACTGAAGCTTAAAGGTTTCCAGATGTCTAAAAAGGCCATCCTGTACACTTCTCACTGTGTAACATACGCCTATCAATAAGCCCTTTTAGGTAATCCATTCTTCAATACTGTTTATTTGTTTCCTTACAGTAAAATAATGAATGAATAAATACATGACTATGAGGACGTTTATTAGGTTGCAACATTCACCTCTGTAATTATATATTTCCTCTTCGTCGTTTATGTTTTTCATATAGGCCTAAATACAAGATTCACAAGGATACAGATAAACTGATAGTCCCCGTGTGTTTGTGTGTGTGTGTGTGTCAATCATACTTCTTTGAATGCAGTTATTGTCTGGTATTGAGAAAAGTCGAAATCCATTTGTTTCACTGTTAAAGATATGAGGCAAGGTACCTGACAATGAGACTGAATAAAGTAAGATGAAACTAGAGATTCTACAAAAGAAATGAAATGGAAAAGAGATCTATTTTTGTTATATGTTGGCTATAATTCGGGATCCACACTCCATGGTCAGTAGGTGGCGGTAATGTACCAACTGGACCGAGGAGAAGAAGAAGAATGGTTGGGCTTGGGGCGCGTGAGGCGCTTCATGCTGCACCTGTAGGCCTTTTTGAAAAGTAACCCCGCATCTATTTGATCTTAACTATGTTCCTTCAAAACTACAGAAGACGGGAGAAAACTTTCATCATAGTCCATCCGAAAAGCAAGCGAATGAAACGATAGACAAGAAGACGGGGCAGCCGACGGTGTTGCCTCGAAATGTTAAACATTGTCATCAGGGCTTGACATTACAGTTTTTTCCAATTGCTAAAACACAATTTTGCAAACTAGGCTGGTTTTTATCAAAATACTTAACACAATTCACAAAACCACACACCCAAACTGCAAAATACCTCATATATCCTGCAAAATGAAGCATTGCAACCAAAACTACACATAGCATTATCAAAATCAAACTTCTGCACCAAATGGCACACACTTTATTCATATTACCAGATTTTTGTCTAACCAACTACACACTGTTGGGAATAATGAAAAGCACTCTCATCTTTAGTATGCTTTGCCATAATACTAACATAGTTAGAATTGTAGAAAATTCTTCAGATTGTTCAAATGCACAGAAATATTTGCAGATACACACACATTGAAACATTTATTTTTTTATTTTTCACCAAACAAGTCAGTGCTACATATACCAGTACAGTAAAACGGCTCGAGTTGGGCTGCACTCTCTGTCCAGCCTCTCACATTGTCAGCCCATAGTTGATGACATGATCAAACTAAGGTTGCTCTGATTTCATTTGAAAGTTGTTGTCTTCTCTGGCCATGAACTCCTCTACCAGCTCTACCCCTACCTCTCACTCTTCCTCCCCCTCTCATTCTCACCCTCCCTCTTCCTCTTCCTATAGTGATAACAGTTAACCATTGAGGTGTTTGGCCAGGTGGCATATACATTGGCCAATTAGCTCATGTAGTGTCATTTTGAATGGCAGTGTTTTGAGATGGCAAACATGTGACTTTATGTCAGATTGTTGTGTCTTATGCGAGAACCGTGTTCAGTGCATTTAAAAAATGCCCATTTAAATTGCAAAGTGTGTGTAAAGCAGAAAATGTGTTTAGACTTTTGGAGACTTGAGAAGAGGTTTTGCTCTCTGTGTGTCAGTTTAAATAATTGTGCTATGCATGTCATTTTAGTGTGTTAGCAATTGGAAAAAACTGTAACTTCTTCCTCAGTAGCCACTGTGGCTAGTGCTTTACAAAAGTTACTACTCAGCATTTTTTCCCAGCCACAATTTTGTTGTTGGGAAATTGCGTTTTAAATGATTGAAGTTGACTCAGGCCTGCTAAAATTAACTTGAACCAGATTGACAACTTAAATGTAAAGGACTAATATACACACCCAAATCTCGAATTTTAATATTTTTGTATTGTTATTATTCACTTATAAACATTCACAATACACATTCAGATGCATTTTATGTAGTGCAGTGCTGCACTGGTCATCTTCTATTAACTGTCGATGTCTGCATTTCATCTCTGTCTCTCTTACTTTATCTTATACTGCTGATGTATCTCAAATAATTTATCATTAGTGTAAGTGTAAGTAACAGTCGTAAAATAATATCCATTTTGTTTGGAGCTTTTCTCCCAAAAAAACGTTTTTTTTTTTTTAATTCATTGCATAACACTTTAGCACTCAGTAATCCAGCACATATGAAATGAATTGGATATTGATATATAAGCCTAGTTTACAATGTGAAGACACGTATGGACCATGTTTTTGATGCCATTTTATGCACTGTGGGCTCATTACTTACATTAATTTTTTACACATTGCAATTTTGATGCACACCTGATATCATTACACATTTAATGATGATAGTAGGAGTGTAAGCATCTATGTTAACATTGCTTTAATACCTAGTACAAAAGGTTTTCCTACAATAACAGACATTATTATACAATTAAATCATTATTGACTACATGTTAACCTCTCATCATCTGCTCACGTCTCACTAGCACAGACGATCATATGAAGAAATGTACAATGTCATTAATCAACATTCTTCATTTTACTTCCGGGTCAAACCCCTCACCCTCACTACTTTTTTTTTGGAACAACCAGAAGAGATTCCATCGTTTTTTTTCTGCCATGATCCAAATGCTCTGACATCTCCTCTCCTTCTGCTGGTGGAGTGCGCAGTAAGTGGTAGAGCGTGCCAGCGAGAGAGAGAATGAATCAAGCGGAGCTGAGGGAGAGGAAATAGGGAGATAACCGGGAGAAATTATACCAATTGGGAGTACAGCGGTAGAAAGGGTTAATAATAGGAAGCTTCCCGCTCAAATTGGGAATGTTGGAAGATCTGTAGATGCCTTTTGAGACGACTACACTTTTTCTTCTTACTTCTTACTGTTTTAGTTTCACTTCAAAGCCTTAATTGTTGCACCATTGATGGTGGTTTAAATTTGCTTCTTGGGGAGATAAAGTGGTGCAATTTCCCTCCTAAAACATGATATCTCAACAGTGTATTAACAGTGTATTAATTTTTTACTTTTAGTGGGTGTATCTAATAAGTTACTGGTAAGATATCTATTACGTTTATCCTCGTGTTCAATACAACTTAGTTTCAATATGGGTTAAGATTCTGAATGGACCCAGTTTGAGCTAATTCCTTATCGTTGGCATTTCCTCTGCTAAGGGTGCAGTGGTACTGTCATGTAAGAAGCCTCCTGTCATCACACCGCTCGGCCCCGTAGGCAACCTCCTGTTCACACACAAGCATGGTAGAAAGTTATTAACATTGATTGGTCAGATTGATTCTGGCAAGGCTTCACACGCTCTGTACCGGCCAAACTGCTCCAACTAAACTCCGTGTGAAACCTACTCCTCCTGCTGGATATATGCACATAGCTTATATGTTTATCCAATGTTGCCAATAATTTCTTTACATTGCTTAATAAGTCATACGTTTGTAGAGCAGTCTTGTTTTGACTGAGAGGGGCTATTTATCTCAGAACCAACCGTGGAACTGTTTTGAATGCAGCGTGTCTCGGGGCTTTAAATATTTAAAACAAATCTGCAGTTTTCGTCATGATTCTGTTGATGTTGTTTGCCAAGACAGTTGGAGCAATGAAGACTGAATAGACCCCCAGCACAATGGGCCAGATAACACTATCATTTATTTTAAGATGTTTTAATTCAAATTTGATCATTAGATAAGTTTCCTTTTATTGCATTTAGAGCTCTAAAGGCTTTTACTTGAAGTGCAATTACTGCCATGTTGAAACTTCCTGATGCTGTCATGGGTAAATGTAGATTTGACTCACACTGTGTTTAATGATTATTTATGGTATACTTGTATTTGTTTTTGAGACATTAAGGAATTTTTTGGAGAATCATGATTAGTCTTGCCCGGTTGTTGTAGTCGTCCTTCAGCAGGAGACTGCAGAAGAAGGCTGTGGTCATAAAGCAAATAGGAGGGAGAGGTCAGGCGCAGAATATTGATCCAACAGACCAGTATGTTCCTTTATATATAGTAGGGCTGTGAATCTTTGGGTGTCTCACGATTTGATTTCGATTCTTGGGGTCACGATTCAATTCAGAATTGATTTTCCATTCAAACGATTCTGGACTCATTAGTCTATTTATGAATTAGTACTTACTTCAGGATCTACTCCAGTCATCTGTGAGACTGGCTGAATTTCTTGTTGCTGTATTTGGCATTCTACTGAGTTAAAGAGCAAGCCTTAGCACTTAACAGGGAGTGACTGATTAGCCCAATTTTTTTTTTAATCAAGTTTTGGAAGTTATGAATCGATTTTAAATCTTAGAAGAAAACCTTGATCTTTATATAAGTCAATTTTTTTCCCACCTCTAATACATAAGTTACAACTGAAGTCTTACGAAACCCTGACAAACGCCTCTTTTGTGGTGGAAGAAATCAGCTTGAACCCTTTTTTCCCTCTACACCACAATGTACAAGTTGGTTATATAGTCTTACAAGCCAAACCAATTGGGAAACTTTTTCTTGAAATCTT